CAGTACTACCATGTGCACAGTCATAGAAGAGTAACGAGCTTGCAGAATTAACTGGAGCTAATTCAGCACTGAGGTAATTTTAACAAAGGAGGAAAGACCAGTGTGTGGTGGAAAAAAAACCCAACCATTTCCTCCAAGAAGCAGACTGGCCACAATAAAGACAAGTAGAACTGCCATTGTGGGAAGTTAGGATCCTGAATAGTCATATGTATTTACTGTGAAATTCATTAACACATTAAAGAAAACGGTGAGTACTCAGTACTTTGTAGTCCATTATAAATTGTATACTGTAATTTATTGAAAAAAAATTAAATCCTTTGGAAGGTGAAATAATGATAGGAATTAAAAAATCAGGAAAGTCCTTGCCCAGAGGGTTCACCACTAGTATATGACTGACATGATACATTATTACTACACTAAATGTCACAATTATGTGAAGATTTTTACATTTCAGAGCTCAACTGTCTTGAAGTGCCATTTGTTGTGATTTTTATGTTCATCTTTTTAGTTCTTCAACCAGATAGATAAAATGGAAAAAACATAAAGAAATCTGAGCACCAAAGATTACTGGACTAACAACAAAATCTTACACTTAAAATAAATTTATATTATTTTTTATTTTTTTGCTATTTTGAAAATGTTTGGCTATCTAGAAAAAGATAAGCATTGGAAAAGAGAAATAATACCATGTGAGTGAAGCTCAAAACCACAGAAATACTTAATTATAAGCAGACAAAACAAATAGCGAGCAGAGTTCATTAGCCATGTGTTCAAATTACTGAGCTTGTTACAATGGATGTTTTCTAAAAGATCATTATTAATTCACATACAATTTAATAATAAGACAAGATAAGGTAAAGGAGAATGATGAAGCGCTGTGATCTGTTTCCACTAAACACCACAGACCAGGGATGTGCTTCATTTTTCTAATGTAACACATACTCTGCACCACTTCACAAATTAAATACCTCACCCTCATAGAGAAAACATACTGCAACATGAGGCTTGGCTAAGCTAAGAGAATAAATTGTACTGCAGTAGCCTAAGCAAACTGAAGCCAATTACCATCTCTCAGGAGAGAAGACAAATCACATGTATCTCTGCAGCTAGTGCTATGTTTGATGCATATATGAAAAGACATATCATGAACAATTTATAGCAGTAAAGTAGGCATTCGTTCCCAAGCATTCCACACTTCAAGTACATTTCCTGTATAATAAAAGCCACTTAATGTTTTTTTTTTTTCTCATAACCTACATTAAGGGGTAACAGGGAAAACACTGTCACTCCTAAAAGTATTCATTGTTTTTATAGGACACACACATAAGAATATAAAAAGCACTTACAAGACTGTTTTTTTTTTCTGTAACAGTAATTTCAGTATCACAGGGAGCTTTATTCTAAAACTCTAGTAGTCTGCACATGGATCACAAACACTCTGCCTCACCATTTTCCTGACATAGAAGTGTTTGGTTTGCTTTCAGAAGATATAGCCCCAGGTACATGCTGATAGTGAAATACAAGCAAAGTATAGTCTCAATGAGTGAAACTGGTCATCTAAATTGAAGTGGGTCATGCAATTTTTTTCCCTCAGTCTAATGCAGTGATATCACATCCAGCAAGCCAAAAGAAGCAGTTTAACATATATAACAGCAGCTATATTCAAAGATAACATGCAGAGGTTTTTTAATTATGTCACACAAACACTCTAAGTTGTATTATGAATTTCTTTCCCAGAGATTTGGAGCTGATTGACTGAATTAACCTGCCACAAAAATTTACACATTTTCAATTTTTCCTCTTGTTGCTGTTACAGGGGGATGACAGTGATGAGGCCAATTTTATGACTGCAGGAAGCTCAGTCCTGGTATACACTTAAGAGATCCCAGCTCTGATCTAAGGAAGGAAACTGATTGACCCAGAAAAAAAATAACAGATTTTATCTCTGTGGAATATCAAAGGCCTTATCTTACCTCTTCATGCAAATATGCAGAGAAAGATCTGAGAAGTGTGTGAAAGCATGCAATGCAAAAGTTGTATAAATTCTATCTCTCAACTAAGAAACATTAAAGGAAACATATAAACATAAAAATATAAAGAAGATCAAGTTTTAATTGATAAAGTCAGAGCCTAATATGTAGGACACATATCATAAGTATCATTTATTCTTTGGATGGGATTTTGCTTCTGCAAGTCCAGGGAACAGCACATTCTTTTCAAACTCTGAAAGTGACGAGACAAAAGTGGCAGAGCATATGCTACTTCCATGAATGTGTGCTGTGTAGAAAGGATGTTACTAACATCTCCCATCTGCACCAGGCACATCCTTAATTCATGTGCTGCAGAGTTTGTTCAGAAATTAGGACAAGCAATTATTTTTATTTTACTGTTATCTTCATAATGAAGTATTTTTACCTAGAATCTAATTTAACGTGTATTTTCAATTATATGTTTTAGCCTTAAAATCTATAATGCTCCATTTAGCATAATTTTTTTCTTTTTTTTATCAAAGAATGAGAATAAATTGCCTGGTGTATCCAGGTTGTGCAATAGGCAGAAGTAGCATTTGAATTACCTGCATCCTCTACCATGCCTTCTAGGTTCCTCACACACAGCAGAATTTCAAGAGTTCCACACGGGGACATGAAGCAACATCCTGCTTTCTGCCCATATACATGGAAATACACAATGAGTGGAAATAGCTGTAAGGGGTACTTGGCCTACATTGGGCAGTCCTATAGGGGAACTCTCAGTTCATAGATCCAGCACAACTAGCCTACTTTCATACTGTGATCTGAGTTCACTACACTGACATTGGTACCTTGTATGTCTTCATGTCATGAAAAACAAGTCATTAAACTTAGCAGGTAACTAAAACACAGACCCCCATTATTTAGTTAAGCCCAGAATACTTGTCCATAGCATGCAATATTTTTTAGTTAGGTGATTTATACTGTTAATGAAACAGGTAGAGCAATTTGATGGCTGGCTAGTAGATTCTCAAAGTGATTTTATGAGCCTGTATTTCTTGTTCTAAAAATTTTATTTATATTTTTCAGACTGTTCATATATATAAGAATATACAAGCTCTTTGTTTTGCTTCAGATTAAAATATGTAACTGACAATGCTGTTTACTGGCTTGGCTGTTCCAAATCCACATTCTTCAGAATTTGTCTAGCTGAAGCTAGAGATTGTAAATATTTTACAGTAAAATGATATTCCTATATTTTCTAGGTCACTGCTTTTTTCTGTTCCCAAATAACTAGGAACAACCAACAGAGTGAAGGAAATGCTTCATCTGAAGATGGAGTACAAAGGAGGCCAATTGTTCTCTGCAGCTCACCATTGCTCCCACACTACTCCACAGCACTGCAAACATATATAGAGCTGCTTCCCTTGGGAAACTAAGATCCAGATAGTAACTCTCATTTAACATGGGGACTTAAACACTTTAAGGAAGTACCAGCTGGAGTCCTTTATTGAAAAAAATATTTAGCCAAATCACTCTTATTAATTCTCCATCAAAAAAGTAGGATTTCTTTCTATCTTTACTCTCCCAGAGTTCTAAACTCTCCTTCTTTATGTCAGCTTACATTAATTTGAAATGGGGACATCTTCCTGTTGTCTGTGTACAACATTCCTAACTGAACTTTAGGCTGAAAACTCCAACACTAAATAATCTCAAATATATCACAGATAACAAACACTTTTCCACAACCCATCTTCTCCAGGTGTTATGTGTAGTCATACAGAGTGACAACTGCATGGTCCTTGATATAAAATTCCACTCATGTAAACTGCATGGTCCTTAATATAAAATTCCACTCATGTAAACCATAAAAATTTCCAGCTTTCATTTACCTAGTTCTGCACCCTTCAAGTCTGACAGTCCTTTACCTTTTTTGAGGTTATGGTAACTCTTACATATCTCTCAAGTTTCCCACTCCTTACTCAAACACTTCACTTCCTCCTGTAGCAGAGCTGTTCACTTATGCTACTGCAAAGGAGGAGTGGAATTGAAAGGACAAGTGTCTTGCAGCAACTCCAACTCCAGCTGTAGTCTTGGCAGATTGCAGAAGCTCAAATAAGGCCACTCCAGGTCAGCCACACAAAGCATGTAGAATGAAAATACTAACAATTCACTAGGTGGCACTTTTATGACCCACTTGAATCTGAAGCCAAAGACGATGCAATCACAGTTTTCTGCTATGACATCGACAAGGTCAAACCATATTTCATCACTTGAAGTGCTTTAAGACCTCTTTCACAAGCAAAACACTATGTGTCCTAAGCAAAGCCCAACTTCATATTTCTACTTACCTAATTTGCTGGGATATACTGTGGTAAGACTGAGATGAAGGACTTTTCCCATTTATTCTCATTAACATTTCCCATCACGTATGTCTACTATCTGCTGCTAGAAGTGGTAATAGCCACAGAGTTCTCCCTAAACAACTGCTGCATTAATATTTTCACCTCAGAATATAGGTATACTTTTCCTTCTGAAGTTCCTGACTCAGGAAAAACCTTTGGTCAATACAATGCAAAGGCTCGTGCAGTCCAACTGTGATTGGCTTCTTGCCTTTCCAATCCACATAAAGATTTTAAATGGCAAATGCAAGCAGCCTCTATCGCACTGTCTGCAGTGATCAATTCTTTCCCATTCCTGCATTTCAGGGAGCACGCACGCACATAATAGAGTGAGCAGGGTAGGCATGTAATCATGTGTAACCCATACAAAAGAACCCACAGCTAGAAGAGAATATCTGCATGCCCTTCCCCCATTCAGGAATTACTATCATCTTACAAGAGCCCTCCCTAAGGGCTGTATGTAGTCATGGTGACAAGACATCACCACCTGTCTGCCCCTGCAATGGAGGCAATGAGCCAGAATGCAAAGCTTTGTTTTGCTGCTGCTGAATGCATATAGTACATTTCCAAATAGTCTGATTCAAACAGAAACCAAAGAAAATTATAACACTTTTCAAAACATAAAATCTGAAGGAAGTTCCAGATTTATTAATAATAGCTTATGGAAATTAATCAATGAAACAAAGTGGCTTCAAAATCTTTATGAATTAACATGCTTAACACTCTACAAAATGCTATTTTAGTTATAAAATCACAAAAGAGGATGCTTTATGACCAAAAGCTGAAAATGCCGACATTACAGAAACAGAATTTAAAATAGGCTGCAACTGTTAACACACATTGCTTTTATTCACTGTGTGCAGTGAAAATGCACACAGACTATTACATTCTGCTTGCCTGCTCTTAACAATGGCCAGCTTGTAGCATTTTGCCGGTTTTATTACTGACTTGAAACATCAGCTGACCAAAAATCAGAGAACCTGCTAAAGTACAAGCACAACACCACTCAGTGAAGGGCAGCAGTAAACATTACAAATAATGAATCAGGCAGGTGAAATGCATCCCAGCAAAAAAAGGAGATGGCATAAATGGAAGGGGAGCAAAATATTTTCTCCTCACCCCAGACATCTAGCTTATACCTCAGGTTACACCTACATTAGGCAGCACCTCACAGCTCTCAGATGTGGCTGTATGCCCCTACCTCAGGCTGAGCTTGCACTAGGCAAGACACAGTGAGTATCTCCTTTCTCTTATCTTCCCAGCACACTGGGTTTCCCCAGGAAAGAAATGCTGACTGGTAAGGATTTTCAGCGTTCAGCAAGTTCCCTGAAATGGGGGCATTGGAGGGTGAGGACTAAAAAGCAAGCTGCAGAATTCTCTGGTTTGTGGTTCACATTTACCATCAGAGTTGTTACATAAGTTTTCTGAGGTTGCATTATTGAATTGGGCCGGACCTCTATTTTCCTGTAAGGGCAAGAGCTACAAGACACCTGGATGTCTTACCGATCTGTTCATGTGGGCTGGCTCTTCTCTGCACATGCTCTAGCACTTCAACATCTCTTGGGAGAGACAGGCCCAAAACTGAACACCGCATTCAAGGTGTGGCCTCACCAGTGCCCTGGTTGTGCTGGCCACACAACTGCTGATACAGGCCAGGATGCCATTGGCCTTCTTGGCCACCTGGGCACAGCTGGATCGTGTTGAGCTGCTGTCAATCAGTACACCCCAGGTCCTTTTCTGCCTGAAAAGATTTCCAGTCACTCTGTCCCAAGCCTGTGGCACTGCCTGGGGTTGTTCTGCCCCAAATGCAGGACCTGGTTCTTTGCCTTGCTGAAACTCATGCAATTGACCTTGGCCCATCAAACCAGAATCTGCTGCCCAGATCCCTCTGCAGATCCTTCCTGCTCTCAAGTAGATCAATACTCCCATCCAACTCTGTGTCATCTGCAAGTTGACTGAGGATGCACACAATCCCTTTGTCAAGATAATAAAAAAATATATTAAATAGTATTGGCCATAGTACTGGGCCCTGGGGAACATCACAGTGAACAGGATTTTACTCCATTCCCCACCACTCTCTGGGACCTAGTCACCCAGCCAGTTTTTTACCCAGAGAAGAGTACACATATCCAAATCAAGAGCAGCCAGTTACTCCAGAAAAATGCTGTGGAAAACAGTGTCAAAGTAATGCCTAGGTAGATGACATCCTCAGCTTTTCCCTCCTCCACTGAGACACCTTGTCATAGATGTCATAGATTACATCAGACATTCTTCCATCAATCACTATATCATTTGTAAACAGCAAACATTTTATCTTTCAAGTGGTTAGCAGAAAAGGCATAGTTTTTATAAAGTCAGGAGAGATTGGGAGTGCTTCATTATTCTCAGGTACTAATTGATTCAATTTTGACTAATCTTTACAACTGCACAAAGGCAAGGTGCTTATGCACTCTGCCCATAGTCACTCTCCTTCCAATATATATCCATTTAACAGGCAGACAGAAGCTTTCTGGCATCAATAACCATAAAATCTTCACGTCCACACACAATATTCAACAAATGCTAAAGGTCACACATGCTAAAGTTAATCTGCCATCTTGTGGGTATATATCACAATACACTTTTTAAATTATCAACCACAGAATATTTTACAGACAAATTAGTATCTTGTATTTGTATATGAACTACTTAAAGGTTTCTGAATGAAAAATTGGAGACAAAAATACAACCTACCACCTCGTAAATAAGACATACACAATGATTATTGTAATTCCTAAAGAAGTAACCCCAGAGGAATATTACCCAAGATACAGTAGTAATTCTATTTGGACAGACACTCTAGGATGGAAACTTGGTCACTTTGAAACAAATAAAAATATAGGTATAAAATACAAGTTAACTGCACAACAAATTAGTGTAATTTATTAAAAAAGAAAAAACCCAAAGCTCTTTTTTAAACACAGGAAGAAAGATCAGTCATGAGGTGCTGAGCAACAACTTCAATCCTGCTTTGGCTGTCAGTTAAATTGTATGTGGCATAGAGCAAGCACCAATCTAAAGGTGAAGTCCAAATGGAATTTGCAATGATACAAATATCAAAATTGTTTCCCTATAGATATATAAAACCTTCCAGCAAATTATGACCAAAGAAAAAAAATTCTTAAATATGCTTATATATAGCTCTAGAATGCAAGCAGCTCTTTCTATTCTGTGTGGAATATTGCTACATTAATACATGACAATATAATGAAATTATATTAGTTTAATTGGTGATTAACTCCAACAGTGTCATGAAATGCTGGCAGAAATTCCCAAACCTCAGTCACACTTAATGTCCTTTATTTGTTCTTACTCTAATAAAAATACCTCTTTAGTCATGAATTGTAGAAACTCTTTATAAAATTAACAGTAAAACTTTGATTCTATTTTATATATAGATAATTTATTTTATTTTAATCTATCAAGATGCTTTTCCTTATCTCTGATGATAATGACTATTTGCAAAATTATAAGACTCTGAGGTGCTTTCATAGGAATATTCCTACTAGATAGAAGTAATACATTAGTGTAGAGACATCATGTATCTAAAACATTTTTTCTTTTTGAACAATTGAAAATCAAAACTCTGGTTATGTCTTAACAAAAGGTATTGTGGTTGTTTTAATAAAAAATAAATGGACTCAAAAGAGGGGCAAATAGCACTTTAAACCATCATTGTTAGAGCCATGATGTGTGTCACTTGTGTAAGTATTGTGGTAAAGAGTCATATTTTTCTTTAGCAGGATTGAGGATTTAGTTTCATTCTTGGAAAGGAAACCTGGAATCTTCACAGCCTAGCTAAAGTAAAATAGCCATCTTCACTTAAGAAAATAGGAAAAAGTCTGAAGAAATAGCAATAGAAAGTATATCTCAATTGCTTATGATGTTCCACCAAAATGTTTTTCAAGAGTTAAAAAAAAATTTCTAATGAACACCTGGGATGTATTTTCAGACTGGCGAAAAGTCCACATAGCTTTTGGCTGTTTACCCAGACAAAGATAATCTTAGCAGTGCAGATACACTGCTGTCTTGAGTCCTTGAATGAATCTGCCTAGGTGCAAAGCTAGGACAAGATTAGCAAAAGACTTCTTTTGGGTCACCTTTTACCTCCAGTGTAGCTGATTTGGAGAAGGGGATGTCAGGGTAATTAGTAAATATAATACTTGATTAAATGCTGACATTAAATATTTTCAAGGAAGACTAGCTTGGCAGCCTGGTGAGTCAAAATTTTGCCTTCCTACATGCAAAAAATTATACCTACTAGGTCAATGATGAGAATACCTTCTTCCACTTTTATAAAGTACTATAACAGACATACAAATTCAAATATGACACAGATTTAGCTAAGAAAAATCTATATTTATTTTTACAATCCATCTGAATTGTTTCTGCTCCTTTAAGGATGTTATCTCAGTTACATTATGGGGTACTGATTACTTTCAGTAAAATGTATCATCAGAAATGGAAGCCTGCCACTAAATGGGTTTTGATCTACTAATCTTTCAAGGGAATTACTGTCATGTTTTTTGTTCAGTTTAGTTTAAAATTAAGTATTGTTTGCAAATCCAAATTCTACATATGGGACATAGTTTGAATTAAAATTCTTATTATAATTCTGTACCAGTTGTAGCCTTCTAACTGGTGTTGGTGTGATATCTAAATACAATTCTAGTCTAAAAAGGCTTCACACAATGACAGTATCAAATGAAATAAAATTCTACAGTTATCTACAACTTTACCTTTTCTCATTATGTGCATGTATTATATGTATGTATACAAAATCCAGTTGAGGAAATTTCATAACAATTCAGCAGTGTTACACAAAAGTGACAACAAGCAAAAGAAATCATGCTTCACTAACTTGATTGCCTTATACAATGACAAGTGACTGGATACACAAGGAGAGAGCAGTGGATGTTGTCTACCTCGACTTGAGTGAGGCTTTTGACACTGTCCCCCATGATATCCTCTGAGGCAAGCTCAGAAAGTGCAGGCTGGACAGGTGGATGGTGAGGTGGATTAAGAACTGACTGAATGGCAGGTCTCAAGGGGTTGTGATCAGTGGCAAAGAGCCTACTTATCTAAACAGTCTCTAAAGCAAGTCAACTGTTATAAGACAAATACCATCAAGATATCCCTCCGAGAACAGTAAAAAGGAAAAAATATATCTGAAGCAAAACCTCCCAGCAAACAAAAAATCCCTGCTTATTCAACAATCTTGTATTTTCTTCACAATACATGAATATACAATAGATGAAAAGTAGTTTCAGAGGAACTTAGCTATAAGCCTTCTCTGAAGAAAATGCCTTTAAAATTGCACTAAAATAATAGTATTGCTTCAGTGCTGCTCACTAAATTGGGCAAATTTAAGTAAATCATTCACTAAATTGGGTGGCTTGGTTTATTTCCCTTCCCTACCAAATTCAAACTCCAGAAACAGAATTTGAAGATCAAGCTAAGTTACTTCTGATTTTTCTACTGGTGTTGACTGAAACATGTTCTTTTTCCACAGGCTACAATTTACCTACTACTCTCCCCAAGTAAATGATAATCTTGGCACCTCTATTTCCTGTCTAATTCCTCCCTCTCTGCTGCTCTCTGTAGTTATCACTATTTCCTTTCTCATATGATCTGAGACCAATTATTCTCAATGGTATTTAATTCTGAAGTTTGTTGTTCTCTTTCAGATCCAAAAAAGGGGCTTCTGTGACCAAATGCTACTTTTCAAACTGCACTAATTGTTCCAAGAAAACATATTACCTGTACCTGCAGTTCCAATCTAGCATCTGACAAGACGTAGGAGACAGTTTGTCTGTATAGTTTTTTAATAATTCTGAAACAGATGAGATCAGAAGATCCTACACAATCACTTTATGGCATTAGTACAGATTGCATTGTTTAACTACTTAAGTGATGCCACTGAGATCTGTGCACAAATGAATATAAAAAATCACGGGTTAGACTTCAATAAAATGCTAGCAAGGGTTAAATTGTGCTTTAATCCTGCAACAGTTGCTGCTATTAAATGTGCTCTTAAATGTGCCTCAAGATTTTCTTTATAATGTGTCTTGATCTGTAAAGGAGTGTGGAAAAAAATAACTAGGAAATATTATTTCTTTCCTCATGATGAAGTGGAGTAAAGAAGGGAGAGCAGACCATGTAGTGAAGTCAAAAATACAGTGTACAAAGAAAAGTTAAAGCAGTGATATCAAACCTGATAATTATTTACTAACTACAGTGTTATTCACATTGAAATACTGCAAATTTCAGATGAAAATGGGATCTTTTCCAGTTTTCAGTTATTTAGCTTTAAATAGAGAAATAGACATTTGTCATGAAGAAAAGGTTTTGTTAAAAATCCAGTCATCTGGTGAAAAATAGAACTCTATCAACCTAACCTAGTTGTTTTTGCAAATTGCATCTCAAATAATAAAATAAATTTTCTAAATGAGTAATGTTCTAAATAACAAAGTCAACTTTCTCCATTTCTCTTCTATCACCCCACTGAGTTTAAAATTCTACTGTTTTGAGCATACCCACACACTATCAGAAAGTGAAGGAATAAACAAATAAACACAAATAGCACCAGATCATCTACATAATTCATGTCTGTAAAGCAGAAGCAGACAGGAAGATATCAAGCAGAACAGGAGGAAACAGGGAAAGTGAGAGAGCTTTCATGTGGGCAATATACTCAACCTACCAAGCACTGCAGTAAGATCCCAGGTTAACTATTCTTATCCTATTTCTAAGTAATAAAAAGATGACAAATATGAAATACCTAAAAAAACAAAAGGAAGGTAAGTCTTGGAGACAAACACTGAGGCTCTTGAATTCATATTAACATGAATAGCAGCATGAGCACTCTACTCATTTACAGAATCTGAGATAAATAATACAGAAGAGTTAAGACTAATAAAACATTAACAATTTTCTCTCAATTCTCATATAGTTTTGTGTTATTTTTTCTGAACAAGGTTGGATAATAGTAGGGGTAAATGAAGCTCTAATATTGTGCTTAAATCTAAAAAAACATTATAAATATGTACAAACTGCTGCTGTGACACTGAAGATCTTTTTCATGTGATGTCACCATTTTACCACTTATCCTCTACTTCTGATTAATGGTCCAATATAAGATTTTGCAGTGAAGACCAAAACTGTTGGCCTGTTTATGCACCACTTTAGCAAACTGAATGGCTGACAGCATATGGTCTGACTAACATGAGGTGACAGAAGTAAGAACCTTTAAATCACCACATTCTAAATTAATGTCATGGCTAAAACGATGGCCGTGTAATGGCCACGTATGATTATGTGGTCTTGTATGACCCTGTTCTCTTTGTGGTGACCTGTGTAAAGGTGCCCCACAAATTATTTCAAATTATGGAAACCACAGGATCAATTCTGGTTAAATACCAGTCTTTGATTCTATGGCTTACATTTTTAGTGAAAAGTCTCCTTAAAAATTAACTATCATATTCTGGATTAATAAAGTAAAACCAATTAAGCAAAAACCAGAATTATAGCAGCTCAATAACTAATAAAAAATAATGGTTATTTCATGGCAACTTGCAATAAGGATACTATAAAATTCTTATTGACTTGCCTAATTCTATTAGAATCCTTCTAATGTGTTTTTATAGACCATAACTCAGTAGTACAGCAAGCAGAGTTTGTGCATAAACAAGATGACCTAGTTTTCAACATCTGCAAGTCTTAGCTTGAAGCTTGTTTGTTACTTGAAAGGCAATTAAAATTTAAACAAGTGTGAAAGAACAAACTCTTACTTTCCTTGAATTTCAGTGAAAAAAACCCAGTTACACATCAACTAATATTTAATACAGAGCCACATCAGAACTGAAAATAACAGCAGATAATTAGTATTCGTAGTTTTTAGACAAAAACCAACAACAGAAAGATACTAAAATATATGCAAAAATATAAAAGAACAGTAGGGGTAAACAATTCAGGAGATTAGGTTGGGCAATTCCTTTCAAACTATAAACCATGTACAGAAGTGTAATTTCACAGGACATTCTTCAAGTAAGAGATAAGAGGCGAGTCAATGAACTAAGCAATATATGTATTATTGCATGGACTACATTAAAAATCCAGACATTCATCTTGCAACAGAAACCCTCCACATAAAAGGTGTCTTTCAAACATCAGTATTTACAGAGACAAACTCATTACTCTTTTCCTCTGATAGCAAATTTTTTCATTGTATTTGTATCTTTTACTATTTAACTAGGATGCATTTGCTGTTAGTTATTGAACATGATGCTTATTACAAGCAGAAAGATTATACAGATCAAAATGATTTCTGTTCCAAAGAGCTTGTAAACTAAACACAAGAAAACACAAGAAAAACTGCCAGAGGACCAAAGAGCATTACAGCACCCATTTCAAAAGGAAGCTAAAGAACCCAAGGAATTTATATTTCATGTCCCGAAAAATGTTCTGGAAGACAAAGGTGCAAAAACTTAATATAAATTATACTAAAAAAAACTATACTGAGTAAATTTAGCCCCATCCCTGTCACTGCTTCAAAGGATGGCTTTCTAGTTAAAGCACAAATGCTGAAGTAAACAGGACTGTATTCAGTTACCAGCTCCTCTGCAGGACTTCAGACTTTTGGCTGAGACTGTTACTTATTTTCTTTACTTCCATGTGTGTTCAGAGTCCAAATGTATGTTACACAAATATATATGTGACATCTACATGATGAAGTGCTCTAGACTTTTCTCATGGAAAGTTTACTTGTTCCATGCAAGGCATATAAATTATTTTCATGACAAAATGTGTCATGTGTCATTCTAGAGACAAACACTCAAAAATAAGCACAAGACTTCTGCTTTCACAGACTATAGTATACATAAAAGGAATAACTGATAAAGATGAAGGATGGGAAATACAGCAGTCACAGGGCACTAACCCACTTTTAAAATGAAGTATGTACTGCCATTCTTTGTGAACATACATTTAAAACACAAATATCATTCAAAAATACAAATGCATGATCTGATTACATAAATGTCTGATCTTGGTGCCTCAAAGAAATGTAGAAGAATATGTTGCCGTTAGCACAGAAATATTACTCATTCCTTACTATACATTTTTGTACTTTCTGCTTCTTATATTTATCTTAAATTCAGTCTTCATATTGTTGTGATTTCTTTATTGTTTTAATTACCACATACTCAGACCTTTTGCTTTTATTAATACAAAGTATTTTCAAATCATTATGGATACCAGATATATAAATATGTGCTTTTACTTTGACACTGATACTGAATAAACTCATAGAATAGAAAATAAAGACTGCAGTTTAGAACTGGGACACTAAAATAACTGATCAGCATTGAAACAGCTTAAGGAGAGCTAAGTCTTGCCAAACATCACTTTTTTCTTAATACAGGTTCATTTGATCAAAGTAACTGTGTTGACATCAAATGCTTTGCAGAGTCTTCTAACAGGCTTATATGACATTCTGAGATACAGAAAGCAAAAATCAGTAATACATAAAATACAGTAAACGTAATTGAGATGTTTCAATACAATGGAGTGTTTCCATGCAGGTTATAGGTGGCTGGTTTTGGCCAACAGTAACACAGACCTATTTATCATAAACTGGAGCATGGTGGTCCATCATATTCTGGTGGAATAAAAGAAAAGAAAAGAGAAGAAGTAGAAAAACTTGAAGTTGTAAGACAAAAAGACAAAAAAAAAAAAAGATTCAAGGAGCAGTTTTAGACCTTAAATAATGACAAATGAAAATTGTACTTCACATACCAATTATCCAACTGAATACTAAAGCAATGCAATTATCTTCTACCTATTATAGGCAGAAGATACTCATTTTACATTCTTAAAATGCAGTGAGATAATATGGCTTGCATAGTATTCTCTTCAATATCATAATCTTGTAATAGATGCAGAGTCTAATGCCCAATCTCAGAATATCTGCATAAGAACTACAGTCCTGTAAAATCACTCTATTTACTATGATTTACACAACTTATTTTACTCTCACAAGAGGGAGTTATTAGAATTACTACTAGAATCCTAAAAGAAAAAAATAACAAAAGTCCTTCAAGAAACATAAAATTGCAAGACTTAAAACTTTTTTTAAACTCCATACAAAAAAAATCTCTTTGGATTCAACGCCATTACCATGCACATGAGATTACATCCTTTGCAGTTTGAATTGCTTGACTCCAGTATTTTTTTCACCAGTAGAACAGCTTTAAGTATTAACAGATATTTCTTTAAATCATATACATCTCACTGTTGAAGAATTCTGCCTTAGTGCAACTTATGTTTGGATTTTATCATTCTACCATCCTCTCCTTTTCTTAGACAATTCATTTGCTTGTGGTAACATCTGAGAAAAGATTACAGGTTAACCTGGTGGCTATTAGCCAACAGCCAGTTTCCCTTCCAGGGCAGCACCTCTGGGCACATGGTCAGGCAAATCAGCTTGCTCCATGCGATTCTCCCCAGACAGGGACACAAGTGATTCATCCCTCCTGGCAGAGAAGCTGCTGACATTTCCATCTCTGTTTGCTTTGTTAGCGGACAGATTGCTGACATGATCCCTTTGTTTTCTCCCTATTCTCTTTACATTAGAATAGAGAATAGGAATAGAGCCAGGAATTCTGGCTACAGAATTCTCTGCTACAGAATGGAGACACTATGTGGAGTCCACTTTACAAGTAGTTTCATTTTTAGAGTATAAAATGTTAAAAGCACTCATGTTAAAAATGTACACTGCGAAACTCAGTTTGGCAAAGAAGTATCACAAGTCCTGATGCATATGAATTTCACATACAGATGTTATTTATCAAAAAGCACAAAAGGTTTTTCAAGGATTTCAGAAGATACTGCAAAAACACTTATGAACATATCTTGATTGATAAAAAAATTAGATCACACCTGTTTTTCAACTTAAATGAGAAGCAGTTTTAATTCTATAGGCTAAAGAATTTTTAATTTGGAACTTGTAAAAGGAAATGCACATTTTTACAACAAAGAAGTGACTTAAATAGCTTCAGGAGTGTAAGAGTCTGATCTAAAAGCTTCTCTACCTATATAGGGATATATTAAAATTTTTGTGTTGTTTTCCAGATATATAAACTTTAAGCAAGTTCAGTTTGACATCACTCAACTGTAAAAACACAAAAATTTTGTGCAAGAAAATTTTAATTATATATAGGATTACACAAATAAATCTTCCTAGGAATGGAACTTCAATACCCCTACAGGACACAGAAAAAGAGGACAGACCTAGACACAGGACCGGCAGAATTTAAAGAGACCACTAGCTCTCTAAGAAAAAAAAAAACAGGACCCATAAACTTCTGACACCACTAGACCAGACATTGCAGGCACACAAAAACATGGAAAGCTATTTGTTTATTCATTGTTCACTGAAATCTCACTAATTTGTGACAATACACTGTTGTTTTTTTTTTTCCCAGAGAATAAATCATCATGGGCGAAAAACCCAGCATTTTGCATAGAGGTTTGTCTCACAAGGATAGTTAAAAACCCAAACCATTCTGCAACATCCGACACAAACCAGCCCTTTTAAATATACTATGCCTTTAATAATCCTATTTTAATATACTTCAGAAACTGAAAAAATTCCAATATGCCCACTGCCTCTTCTCTAGGCTACCATTCCCATTTTTGCAGTTTCCTAGACCTGGTAAGTGCTGCTTGCACACAGCTATACAAGTCCCTGTAAAAAAAGAAGCAATTAATGACAGCCTCCAAAATGAAAACAAAATTAACTTCCCTATATCCTTAAACTCCTTTCCAAATATATTTGTTTCTGGCCAGTTATATGGGAGAAGGTGAAAAATGGCACTCAGCACTGGATCTGACAGAACTTTATAATTCATGACACAGCACCAAATGGGACAGTAGAGGAGAGTTGATTTAAATAATATAATTTCAAAAATGGGCTAGGAAGGGAATAGACAAATTTATCTTGAGAAATCAAAATAATTTTTAATTCCTACCAACTTTTGGATTTCAACTGTATGTAGTTTTGAAAACTTAGAAGCAATTCTACAGGTCAGTCCTTGCACCCCCCAGTACTCATATCCCATACTGAATCTCTCTTTTTTTACAGAAAATCAAGGGTTTTCCTGATTCAAATGCTTTTCAATTTGTCTTAGGAAGAGATACTTTAAAACACAAAACTGAATTTGGCAGAAATCTTTCTATATTTTATAAAATGGAGACCTGCAAGTAAATTCAATTTGTGATCAAAAGAATACAATTTTTCCTTCAAATGTATGGTAGGATAGCTCAAAGTGCCTGTAAAATGTGCTCACTGATGCAAATGCTTAAAACATTATCTACTGCCAGTAGCTGCACCACTGGCTGTAGACAACAAATGCAGAAAATTTCTATCTACTATAGCAGAAAACTGATGCTTTTTACGTACTTATAACTGAACAGGAAAAGCCTAGCAAAAGAAACAGATGCATTTTTAATATATGTAACAATAAAAATCAAAATTTAGACAAAAAATTTCATCTACTATAAAATCATATCTTACTTAGAGCACACAGATTTAAAATAGGAACTATCTAAAGACAGGTTTAAATTACTATGTCCTCAATCTGTGGCACAAATTTCGAAAGAGGTTTTTGTACTGGGTTATCTTTGTACTATTAACAATACTATGCATATTTTATCACCATTTCACTTTTGACAGAACTAGGTCTCCACAAACACACAGAAATCTGGAAGCCTAGTATAAGTGTTTAAAAGCAAATATTTCAAATATAAATCTAAAACAATTGGTTTTACCATTACTGACCTTGTACTACATAAGGAGATTATGCTGGATTTTCTTTCTGATACTAGTACTGCAACAAGAAGTCAAAATGTTAAGACTCCTTCTGAAAGCAAATCAAATTTTGTCATGAACCACTTTTTCTGCTTTGAACTGCTAATAAAGCATGTAGGGAGCATGCTCAAATTCTGATTCTACAGGCTATGGACCCTTGTTATAAAACCAAAGAGTCTTACTATTCATAATCCCACTTTTTAATTAACTTCTTAATTTTAATTAGATATGTATTTTTAAGAGCATTATCCACAGAAATTGTTGAAGTTAGTGAACTCACATTTCTGGTGTCAGCATTTTCTGCATGCATGTTTAGGGTCTCCAACACCATAAAGGTCTGTGTCACTCAAGTTTTAACTCCCCTTAGTGACCTTCAGACCAAATAGATCTAAAGGTAAGTGCAATTTAAAAAACAAATAAAATAAAGAAAAAAACCCATTCCTTGGTCCATTCAGATTGCTGATGTAAAGGGAGAAATTAAGCAACAACGCAAGAAATATCCTTGTGAAAATGTACTTTTTTAATCCTCCATGCCTTAAGTGCTTTCAGGCAGCTCAGGAAGGACCAGGTCAACTTCTACAACACTAAGCAGAGTTCTGCTGTCAAGAATGTATTACTGTAAAGCTCCTTCTCCACCTAGCTCAAGGCATTGATAATTTCATTTTGTTAAATCCAATGTATGCAATTAATAGGGTAAAAGGTGATATATGCATACTTCTGGAGCCAAGGCTAACCAATAACAAGATTCATGTTGTATAAATTGATTCCCTGCTATTTATAAGTGATTTGACAAGTACTGTAGCAGGCATTTTACACGTGTCTGGCAGGGTGTCATTCTATGCTCACTCAGAGTATTTATGCCTATGTAGGTACTGCAACCTATGTGTTGCAGGACTAAACTAAATGTATTAACAAGTCAAAATGCTGCATGTACAAAAGCTGCTGTTAGTTTAAAGGAAATAAAATTTTCAGAAACAGCTATTTAAAAGAAATCCTACAAGAAAATGCTTTAAAAATGTGCCATACTAGATATTTGCTTTGTAAACTGTGTTAATCTTCAGTGAAATAAGTATTTTTTTTACATTATTAAACAACAATTAAAAATATGTAACACAGTGAAATTTATTAAAACACACAGATAGCTGCCAAATGAGTACGGGAATTGTGCCTGAATTATCTTACAATATGAGAATAAAAAGTGAATTAAGTAACTCTAAATAAATTGTACACACATACACAAAATACAAGACAGATAAAAAAATAACGTCAAAAAGAACATTACTCATTTATACCAGCTACTGAGATAGTTTTATGTCTTTCTTGTTATTTGTAAAGAAATTGTTGAGACTCCTGCACCTAAAATTAGACTTACTATATCAGTTACGTTGTGTTCTTGGCTGCGACATCCTTAGCTGTGCAGCCCCTACACTGCACTCGTGTGTGCTGGCGTGGTAATGCAATAGCTCACTACTACCTGTTTCAATAGCCTGCAGTCTCTTCTATACAGAGAAGCACCATAGGAAAGGAGTGGCATGGCAGTTACCAGCATGGGAGAGAACTCCTTGGACCTAATTTTTTTGCTCTTGCAGGATTCAGCAAGAAAAAAATGATTAACTTAAGTGTTCTTTTCTGAACTGACACTGTAGATCAGGACTACTAAATATATATTTTGCAAATAAAACTGACTGAAGATAAAGTAGTCAGACAAGTTCTTACTATCACAGTATGCTTCAACAATAATTATTCACAGAATAATAGCAAAACATTTTAAGTGGAAAGACCCTACTAAAACTCCTCCTGCAATTCTATCTCTTGGCTGTAACAGGAATTGAGATACTCAGTTCATTCATAACAACGTGTGTTTCTTGGCTTTATCAGACCTATGCTTATCTCACCTATAATGACTGTGACCAACACTGGTGCACTTCTGGACCAAATCTAGTGAGTTGTTGACATGGTGGTGGTTGGTGAAAGGTTGGACTCGATAATCTTGGGTGTCTTTTCCAACCTTAATGATTCTATGATTCTAACTGCACCAGCAGCCTACTGTCATCACCTCAATCCTGCAGGTGTTTCCAATTTTGTAATCAGTTGTACTTATGCTTTTAAGGCAGCACCAGGAATCTTAAAATAATTTTTAAAACATTTGAATAATGTGCTATCTCTACTGCTATGCTACAAAATCAACATTTAGAAACCTTGGGCAAAATTGTTTAGCTAATTTTTGATTATGAAATCGTAATGCTTATTTGCATATATTATATTAGTAAAAATATATATTGAGGAAAAGAGGAAAGGGATTGATAGGGGATCATCTTTAAAAACAATAAAATAGCTGTAATCCACAACAATGTCTAACAATAGAAAAACTATCTGCAGTCCTTTCTGCAATGTCACTAATGGTTACTGTAGAAATAATTGTCATTAATACAAAATTGAAAGCAGGGAGCATCTAGAACCTCACAGCTCAGTCTGCAGCATCTTTAGTGTTAAGTTTTAATGTAAAAATTTCTCACCCATAAATCATATTCTCTCAATCCTTTTCTGCCTCCCACCCAGCTGCACCTCCATCCACCCTACTTCAAGGCTGTACTGTTTGTGCAAGGTAATGTTCATCGCTGCATATAGTAAAATGATTCTACCTTCTGTTACCCAACAGTTCTTCTTTTTCAATCCATATCATTAATAGTTAGTCACAAAGCTATTATTCATTCTCTGAACTCCTAAGATGAGGTATAACTGATAGGTTTATATCCTTAGCAACTGCACATAATATGGAGAACTGTATTTTACTCAGCCACATCATCACACGTTTCTATTTCTGCTTGCAAACAGACTCTTGTTGTTGTTAAAGAACGCGTGTCAACAACAGGCTTCAACAGGGTATTTCATTCCAGTTAATATGTACAGCATGTCCTTACCTCCCCAGCAATGCCACTAGTTTGAGTGACTGCAGCCTTTCAGCCCAAAAGTAGACTTCTTTACCAGCTAGTATCTATTAACCCTTGGTTCTACTATAAAAATATACACAAATACATATATAAATGTATAAATATGCATAGGTTTGCTTTAATTCTACCTCCTTATATGTAGAAGCAAGGCAGGTATGTTAAATTGTCTAAAATATTTGATCGCATAGTGATAATTATTCCTATAAACATAGGTGCTTATTTTAAAATTTTATATTTATTATATTTTACTTCAATTATTTACTATACATGCTTTCATTTTACTCCATATGCACAGCAAGGAATACCCAAAACAGAAGAGATAAGATTGTGACATTCTTTAAAGAAAATGTAATTGTTTCAATAGTCATAATCAGGTTTTATACGTATTAGGGACGAATGTGCAGGATATGCAAGAACCTTAAAAAATAATATATCTAACTTTACATACATGTTTGCATTAACATATTTTTCTATCATAAAGGAAGATGTTTTGGAAGACATCTTTCTGTTATAATGAACATGAAGGGAATTCAGTGGTCTGCTGGTCTTCCAACACAGACCCAACCTTGACAGACCCTCTCTCATACATGATTTATCCTTTTCCTAAGACAGTAACAGCGTTCAGGAAAGTCATAAGGTCAGAGAATTTTACAGTGGCACAAATACTTAAAAGCTGACATCTTTGTAAGAAAATTCTCCATTTGATAAGGAAAACACCTCTACTGTTCAAATCCCATGTCCTGTTTCTGCATGCTTTTGGCCAGAACTGGCAGTGAATTTCTTGAAATTCTACATTCCTTTTAGGTCAACCATGCTTCAAAAGCACTACAAGGAATCCAAAACCCACAAACTTAATACAACTATTACCTCCCTACACATGGGGAGCTCTTCTTCATGCAGTGCTAGAGTAACATTGTGTTCCATACACAAACCTAGCTGGTATGGTCTGCTTTCCAGTTCCATATGTGCAACCATGTTAAAAAAACAAAAATAAAACCAAGCCAAACAAAGCTTTAAAAAATCACATGTGGAGTTATTTATTACAAAATACTACCATTTTGCTTCATTTGTCCCTCTTTTTGTTGTTCTTTTCGCATAACCTCACTTTGTTAAACCTTTCCTAAAGAAAGTCAGAGACACTGCATCTTACATTCAAAAATGCTTTACCTGCAAAACAGAGACAGAATGACTTGAGTATTGAATCAGGGATATGAGAACCACAGCAGCCACTGTTGCTCCTTCAGGCTTCAAAGAAAACCAGAAAAGTCCATTACCCTTTTTCTCAAAGGATATTATCAACTCAGACAGCACATGGTGTTTTTCTGTAGGCCTAGATCTTCTGAAGGAAGGCAGAAATAGTACAGCAGGTGAGGTAGTGTTTCTTGAGGAGCACAGGGTAAAGTCAGGGCTCTGAAGGGATACCATTAATAGCAAAGTGGGACTAAGATGTGTGGGAAAGTACTTAACACTTAGAGTATGTCTGTCTATATTTTTTTTTAGATAAAGAAGATTAAATTACAGAGAGTACAAATTAAATAAATACCATTACCACATTACATGCCACGCCTACATCTATGAGAACTATATTCTCAGGTATATATGCACTTGCTATGCCAAGCTCTTCAAAACAGTGCCTCTTCAGTAACTCTCCTAGAAAAACTATATTTTTGGCCTTGAGAGGTGGAGGATATTTTGTAATACCTCCAGCTGAACTTGTCTGTTGAACATAGATATGTGTGTATATATATCATGCATATATTCACAGTTATCAACCTTCCCATTTTTTCCTCCCATTGAAAATGCTACAGAAGTCTCTCCTGTCAGTTATCTTTACTGAAAATAGAAAGGGATTGTTTTCATTAGCAAATACTTTATTGTTATAATTGCAGTTATCCCTTCCTTTAGTTAGTTGCTATTGCCAATGGAGATTATTCTCAGTCTTTCCCCAGTGACGCTCTATTTGTCACTATTCTGGGCATTAATCCAAGTCCAAAGATAGGAATGAAAATTATAGGCTCTTCCTACATAGCTTTCCTTTTTAGCAACTTCATGCAGGCTCCACATTAGCAACTTCTAACTTCTCTCAGATTTCTTCCTACATAAGTCATTCTCCAAACAGATCAAAAGTGGAAAAAATTCAGCTCAATGCTTAAAGGGATTTTATCCTTTAACTTCATACTGAAAATACTTATTTTTCCTTTTTTTTTTCCAAATTCAAATAAAGGTAGTAGATTTGGGAGGGTAGGAGGTGGTTGGTTGTTGTTTACTTTAAGCATTTTCTATAACACATACCACACTAATATCTGAGATAAAATATTAATGGATTTTTCTTCACGGTAGTTTCATTTTATAAAAGATATCGTTGCCCTCCTTTTAGCAGTAGGAAACTCATGCACAGATAGCGAACTGCATGTGCAACATCATAAGAGAATATGCTGAAATCAGGAATACCTTTCTGAAAATACAATCCTTTTCATTGCTAATTCTTGCCAGTGTTCGGAAAATATTGCTATATATTTTTACTGTTGTTCTGTGATGTTAATGAAATGGAATGTTGAATGCAACTTTTTTATCTAATTCATCACACAATACTAATAGATAGAAGCTCAGTTATGGGTTATGATTTATTCTGCCAAATGTTTACAAACAAACATGTTGGAAAAGCTGTATTAAGTACATGTATTAAGTAACCAATAAAAAACAGATAACCAAATTTAATTCACTCCTAGTCTGAATTAATTGACAGCAAGTCTATTTTGAAGCAGGAGACAGAACTAAGGTGTCACTGTAACCATCTGTCATAAATGCTTTGACAAAGAGGATAGATTTGTAAGGTACATCCACATCCTACTGCTAACGGAAAATCTCTGTATGGTATCATGGAGCCCCTACATACCAGTAGGAGTATGGTGAACCAAACATTGCTCTCTACATGTTTACCAAATCTCTTGGTTTATATCAAGTAGATACTTAAAAGGACATCTACTGTTTTACTGAACTTCAGTGGAAACTATATTTGCATATAGCTCTTCAACCTCTAAAATAAAATCAACAGCTCTTGCCAGATACTTCTTGGCTGCATTTTACAATGTAATGTTTTTATTTAGGATTAAAATTAGCAATCAAATATGATTGCGAAGTGAATAGTGATTGGGAAGCACTTAATCACCTAACTAAGATAAAACATTAGGATTGGCAAATCAGAAAATGCTTCTGAAAGAAAAAATGGAAGAGACTGCAAATGTAGTCAAAAGAAAAGCTAAATGGCAGTGAAGTCATTAGCAAAATAATACTTGATAAGCCTGATTGCCTCCTACTTATTTTTGCCCAACCATTTAAAAGTTATCCCTTCCCACTGTCCTTTCTAGTTTTCTCCCTCTTCCTTCCCCTGGCTAGTCCTTTTGGCAGAACAAAAGTTACCTGTTCTTCTACTCCTACTCAAAAGAGACCTGTCTTTCACTTACTAACGGATTCCAAACCTACATTGCCGCAGAACCAGCTACAGGATACATACAAACAAGAGTGTTATATCTACAAATAACAAAAACACACATGAAGTGTAACATAGTAATCAATTACATCCTACAGGTATACGGAATTAGTTTGCTCTTCTGCTATATTCATACAATACCATAGAGCATTTAGGAGTTTCACCACTGACTGCTCTTTGCCCAAGATTTCATCATTATATTGTCTCTACAACTCATAGTTTTTAAATAATGAACAGGTGAAAATATATGGGGAGTTCATAGTTTCCAAAAGGATAGCAAAAATATTCTGGCCCTTGGTACATAATAAATAAACTATAATCAGTTTACTGCTTGTAACATTTTACACCATAAAAAAGTTAAATACTTACAGAACATCATGCAAACACCAACTTCCTTGATCAGATTTGCAATATCTTATCTCACCACTCTGCATAGAAATAGAGAGAAACATGAGTTTGAAAGCGGTCAAGACTCATAACTGGACAGGCAATTGTAAGGAATGCCAACTTACAAAGATGGTCCTGAACAAGTCAACAAAAGACAGGAGTTCGACTAATCTCTAACACAAGCATCTTAATTACTCTACGTAAATTCTGTCATGTTTTTGTAATAAGATACTCCATCACTTGATTTTTATCTTTATTTTCCATCCCTGATAAATCTTTTCGAGCGCGGCAAAACGCCCACAATGGATTCAGAGGCTGCTGCGAGCATTTCTTTGCAGCTGCCGGCGCGTCGGCGGAAAGCCTTTCCCGCCCCTGCGGCGGCTCCGCGCGGGCAGCGCGGTGCCACAGCGCCCCCTGGTGCCGCCGCTGCCCGGCCGGGCAGGGCAGGGTCTCCACGGGGCAACTGGCGGTGACGCGCGGGGCATGGCGGTGACGCGGGATTCCAGGCCCAGCGCTCCTCAGCCCTTGCTGGGCGAGCTCCTCGCGGTATAGTTTAGAAATTAACGGTATGAGGATATATCTGAGTGTCCTAGTTTAGGGCAAATTTGGGGAAAACCCTCTGAAAGGAGCCCCTAGGAAATAAACCCCCACGGCCCCTCCCCACCCACCTGGTTCAGGGAAAAATTTCCTCTGAGAGAGAAGTGGAAAAGAACCTGTTTATTCAACGAACAAAGCACTCCCCAGCACCAAAACAATTAACAACACCAGATGACAACAAAACTCTTTCACCCCTCTGAAGAGCTGAACAAATCCAGAAAGTCTTTCCTGGGAGTGGTCGCCCGGGTCTGGGCGCTGGGGATTGCTCTCCAGCACTGGGGATGGCTGCTGCAGATCACCAAATGCAGGCTCCTGTTGTTCCTTGGTGTTTCCCAGATCCCAGTCCAGAGCAGGTTGGATGATATTCAGAAAGAGGAAAGGAAAAAGCAACAGTCCAGGGAAAGAATTGGACTGCTTAGCTAACCTAACTAGGAAGCAAGCAGAGCAAGAAAGCAGGCAAAGCAAGCAAGCCAAGCAAGCAAGCAAAGCAAAGCCAGTCAGCCAGCCCTAGCCTTTTCTAGACAGCCGACCATGGGGGGAGGCGAACCAGATGATAACAAGGCAAAACAAACCTTCACTTTCAGAGTCAGTTCTGAAAGCACAGAACATAATATCAAACGTAAACAGAACACACGATTGGAGATACAAACACCATAACGTCACCCTGGGACACTGAGCAAGAACCACTCGGTTCTGCAAAGAGGAGATAAAAACAAAGAACTTCGGGAAAGAATCCATATTGTGTATTAAGGATGCAGGGATTTGCATGTCAAAAGATGAGGAAAGGGGTCTGTTTATACTTAACAGTATATTGTGTTCTACACTGGAAGAAAAATGTTGAGTAAATTGACCTTAGTTTCTCAAATAAACCAGGAGCTTACCATATTAAGGGCAGCATTTTTATGCTACTGCAAGTAATCTGTTAACTTCAGAAAATACAGAAGATATATTCCCTAAAAAGGAAGGGAATCATGCCATTGACTAGGATTTGTTCTGAAGACATTCAAGGATGAAAGAACAAAAAGCACAGCTGAAACAACAAGCATTAGTAACAGAAATTAATACTGTAAAACCTAATTTAATTCTTTGAAAATAAAAGCACATAAGCAGTAATCAAAGAAACTTGGTTTACTTCTGTATAGGATCTGTTAAGGCACTGGAAAAATACTATTCTGAAAGCTTGAGGATTGCACATGGCTTCACGTAACCAGTGAATCAGTAACATCCAGCAGAATACCAGCACATGCAATATTAGCATCTTCTGCTACAGATCAGAAACAGAACTGAGTCAATTAAGCTAACAAATAGATAACGCAGTGCCATTACACTCAGCATAAATCAATACCAGGCATGAGGCAAAGAATCTATGAATACTTCACAAAAACAGCTCTAAGTATAATGCAAATATAAATATAACCCTGCCAAACACGCCACTGTGGCCTTACTTTTTGTTCTCTGAACACTGAATGCCTTCAGGCAAGCTGATAGCTAGTAAGTCATCAGTTGCTTGTGCCTTACTTTCTTGCCTCTCATTCTCCTACTTCTCTTTAGATCCTTTAATCTAAAATGTTCTAGCAATACTTCCAACAAATCCCAATTTTAGTAGCTTCCTCCTCACTCAAATTCTAGCTCATACCCAGTAAACAATCAAGGAGACACAACTGACTCCTGTTCAACCTCTCTCCCCACCCCCAAGAAGGGCAGTCCAGCAGGTAAAAATGTGGTGTCCCCTTTAATCCTAGACCCTTAGTTACACACAAGCACAGTTAGCTGCTAACCCACAGCTGTCACAGCACTCACCTTCAAGTAATTGGAATATTAAGCAACCATTTATTCTCTTAATTACTTTTTCAATTATAGTAAAGAAACAACTGTAGAGCTGCTGTGATTCAAGAGTACACAAGGAAAAACATTCCAAGCTTCTAGAAATATGAAAGAAACTTCTAGGAAAGCAAATAACTGGTTCTTTTTGGACTCATACACTTTAGCTGAGGAGTTACAGGGAGTAACACAAGGCAGTTCCCAGTCCAGATTTATGAGTTCTTAGTATAGTTCTTCAACAGCAGTGTGCTCTCTAGGTTTCATAGTGGCTATTTTGAACTAGAAGAATTTCAGTTTTTATTTTCCCAGCTACAGATCTTATAAGTTAATGAATCAGAGAGACAAACAATGAGTTTACATTTCAAACTTGCAATAAGAAAAATTCATATGTAAAGCTTCCCTTTCTCCTACTTGGTTTTACGTGACAAATTAAATAAATGGTGTATTATTTGTCACAACCAACTAGTAAGGCATAACCAGTTGCAGTTTAAGATTTTGTTTTCCCTCCATATGCTTCTGTTGACCATAACAGTGCAGGACAGGAGGCAGAAAATGTTATCACGTAAGACTAAAACCTCAGGATCCACAATGAAAACCATCAACAAAAGGTTAGCAACACTGCCTACAGAAGACTTATCAATGATAAGCTTAAAGACTTTGTTTCTCCAAAACAGATTATGGTACCTTCAATTTGCAGGAGAGGAAATACTGTACTAATAACTTCCAGGTCAATTATTTTGTCCACTAACTTCACGAATACTAGAGGTTCTTATGAAGACCAGTATAGAAGTTTTAGGATATAAACATTTTCCTCAAACCATAATTCTTTTGAGTAGCTTCTATAAAGCTCTATATACCCTTACAGGAGACCAGGTGCTTGGTATTTATTAAGCTCATCAGTTAAGCAACACGGGCAGACTGCCCACAGCTGTCATATTAGGAGGTTGCATTCCCCTTGTAATGCTGATTGTTCTTGCAGGGGGCACAATATAACTGGACAGGTTCCATATTTCTCCATATTTCCACTCGTTTCTCACATGCATCACCAAACATTTCTCAACAAAATCTTTTTTAAAAATGGTCCTAAAATCTTTCTGTCAGACTGTTATGTATCTCACAACTAAATTAATTTGCTGTTGAAAACATTAGTCCTTTTTAAATATGTTTGCCACAAAGACACTATTAAAAAATAAAATGTTGCTGACCTTTTTACAAAGGACTACAGAATCTGACATTAAAGTGTCATGTGATTATAACAATCATTCCTTACAAAGAATGCTCATTTTCCTCTGTTTTATTCCTTCATTTAGAGATAAAAGAAAATGTAGTCTTTATATGTCAATTTGCATCACATGACATTTTTCTAGGCCTACTTTGTGTCTGATCTTATATCTTTAATCTTAAATGGTTTCAGATGATTCAGACATTCTTGGAGTACACAAAGCGTTTATAGTATTGACTCTTCTTTAGTTTGTTTTTTTTTTAATACCTTGTTCACTTTAATATATTTAATGCTTTGGAAAGTGACAATGGTTTCATTGGCATTTAGAAATCTAGTTCTCAAGCAGTAACACTGGCAAAGTAGACATTGCAACAGTGTAGGCTTCTCTACAAAGCTCTGCCAAGAATGTTCAATGCCATCTCATCCTATTATTTATTAATTGTGTACACTTTACCCAGTGGGGATGTCAGGCATGTTTGTAGGTAGTTTCCTGGATCATTCTTGGAGTTCTTTCAGGCAGCCATATTCATGTCACATGTGCCGTTTTCCAATACCACTAGTACCATTGACATGAAGCAAAAACTGAGCACTATCTTCCCCAGCCACAAATTTATGATTTCAAGATTACTACATCCCAAATCATTATTGCTTATATTTTCCAATCACTCTATTGATAATTCAGTTCAAGGCATACTCTCTCTCTAGTCCTCCTTGTAGAAAGTGTTTTGCCATGAAAAATTTCTCAAGATACTCTCCAGTAAACAAAAAAAAACCCCTCTGTTCTGGTTTTATTGTGACTGCTCTTCCCAACCAGCCTTACATTTCTGTGGATCTTCAGGATTCTCTTGCAGAATTTCTGCTCATAAGTACTAAAGGTACTAATAAAGATTCCTTTCTAGTGTTTGTTGCTCTAACACATTTGGGCCTCCTTAGTATGTTTTTACATTTCATGAAAATTTATGGTTCATTCTGTTTCTTTTTTTAGCACAAATTCCTTTGTGCCTATCTTTTTTGAAGCTACCATCTGTTTGTTTGGCTTTTTTTTATAATTGTCTCCTGTGGTTTAATTGTGTTGGCATCCTTCAGAGCTTGATCCTGCACCACAACCAGAGGGGTAAACAATTGTACAAACTGTCCTACAGCAAACTCCCAAAGAACTTAATGTAAACAATGGATTATGGACTTGCAGTGCACCCTGCAATTTTATTCATTATGTGCTGCAAGTCTTAAAGCTAAGACTAAAACCAGTATTAAGCATTCTAGACAGTAACCACATTCCAAAGCACAACAAAAAGCACAGAGCAACCAAAGAAATCAAAAACTACTCTCATGGTATAGGAAAAGCATCTCTGCACAATCTTTTGGGAACTGCCCATTCCTTTCCCTAATTCACTGTTAGTATACTGAATTAAAACTATAAGTTTATAAACACTACTCGTAATCATGCCAGTGTGACCAATAGAAGTAAAATTTTAGGACTCTTAAATAAGTGGGTGGGTGGCATATTCAGGCACCAGCCCCCTTATGTACTAAGAGCTGCATAAGGGGAGTGGGAGCTTGACTTGATTTGTCAAAAAAAGCCTGAAGGATGTATCTGATTAATTGTAAGGTTATACAGGAGAAAGTATTTGCACAAAACAGATATTACTTTCTAAGGCAACTAATACACACTGCAAATACGAATTAAAACAAAATCACATTATTCAGGGCACTAATGTAGAGCATGTGGGTGTTAGATACAGAGGCCTTGTGAGGAAATTGCTACAGTACTAAACATAGAGAGTCGGGTAGAAGACTATCTTGAAAAGCTACTATATGGTTTATTGCAGTCTGCTTTAAAACAGCTTAATTCTCCGGTTTCACATGGAATTCTTTGTGCAGTCCAAGAAAGAAATAACATTGCTACAAATCACAGGAATTGCATCTTAGGCCTCTCAAAGTTTCTTTGCTGAGTCACGTCATCTGACTAGTCACGCAAGAATACATGTCAGCTTGTAGCTTGTCATGGAGATGATTAGAGATTTTTTTGGAAAGGAGCTGAAGCTAATGTGCTTAAGCTATTGAACAACAATGTCATATATGCTCTTTATGTGCACTTTGTTCTCCATATTAAATCATATGCATCATAGATCTTTAGGGACAAAATTACTAAAGCACAGCACATGTGCTCCTTTAACCACCACAGTTTACCCTAGCAAAGTATTATCAAATATAGGAGTTCTTAAGATTATAGAAAGGAAATTAGCACGCTCTATTTTCTCTGCTATTTAGTTGTCATCTTTCAGGCATTTTTTTCCCCATCATGATTTAATCTTGTTGAAAATTTTGGGTCCACATTCTGATGATGCCCTCCAGTAATTGGAGTAAGTTCCTAAAGTTAGGTAGATTTTTTTACTCTTGTAGGCTCTACATTTTTTGTCCAGCAATGCTTCACAAAATTAATTACCGCCTCCAAGTTTTTATCAAAGCCTACTATGTCATACGGGTTTCAGTTTAAGATGTGTTTCTTTGTATGGCTTGTTCCACACTTCCAAAGTGTATTCTGCTGAACACTGATTGGTCTCAGCTCGATATCCTGAACTAAACTTTCAGCGCTGTCATTTTGCATCTTTTAATTAGTTTGGCTTCTTCCCATACTTTGACTAGATCCTCAGTATGTTCTATATCTGATTGATCACTCTTTACAGCAGATTATCCTCCCTGAGGAGAATAGTGAGGTCTTCCCAACAACGCTGATATTGAAAAGCAAACAGAAATTAGCAGCTGTGACATCGGACCTGGTTTTTGTTATATATCCCACCGAGAAAGCTTTCCTGGCGCTCTCGGGGTAATCATGGATTGGGTGAACTCGAAGACTTACAAGTTCAAGGCAGAGAGGCGCTTACTTTCTGGAACGTTTCCAGCGAAGGGGCCGTCCGGAGGAGTGGCCGCCTTCCCACAGCCTCCGCCCGCCCGTGGGAGCCCTGGGCGCTGCTCCCGCAGCTGAGCGCGCTCCGGCGGGTCTCTGGAGCGGCGGGCCGGGCCGGGAGCTGTCGGACGGGCACATGGCCGCCTTTCCCACACGGCGGAGGCGCCGCGGGCCCGCTCGGAGCCCGCCTGAGGGGAGCACGCCTGAGGGGAGCCCGCCTGAGGGGAGCCCGTGCCGGGCGCGCGGCCGGGCGGCACCGGCGCCCCCCGACCGGCGGCGCCGCGAGGGACGCACGCGCCCGCCCCGTGTCCGCCGGCCGTGGAACTATCGCCGCTCGCGGAGCCGCCGCCGGCCGCCGATCTCCAGGTACCGGGCGGACACGGGGGGCAGGCGAGGTGTGGGACTGTGCGTGGGTCAGCGGGCCCGCCGGCACCCGCCGGACTTCCTCTGCGCTCTGCGGCTCGTGGGGCGGGCATGGGTGTCGGGCACGGCGGCCGGTGGCAGCGGCTCAGGACGACCGGCCGCTGGAACGTCCCCGCAACGCGGTGCAGCGGCCGGCAGCGATGGCCCTTTCATCTCTGTTTCGTAGGAGGAAGAAATTCCTAGATACCAGGCAGGGGGGGAAATGCGGACTCGGGACCTCAGCTTGTGAGGCCGAGGAGGGACTGCTGCTCGGCGCGGCTGAAGTTCGATGTCGCTGAGCGCCCCGTCTTCTGCCGTGCCCGCTGCTGCGCTGTCGCAGCGGGTGCTTGGCGTGCCCATGGCTCGCAGGGAGCCCGGCAGAGGACCCTGCGAGGTGTCTGCCTCTCCCGCGTTGTGCAGCTCTGGGCTCGCTGCTGGCATCCCCCCCGTCTGCAGGCCGGGGACGCTGCTCCTCACACAGGAGCCGTTTCACCTGTGTCACAACCTTTTGTTGCCGTTTCTTTTTGCTCATTGAAATATGTCCCTTCCAGCTGGGGAAAAGGAACGGGGGTTAGCAATGCACGTTGTGTTAATTTTTCGTAACAAATGAAGAGAGGGACCTGGACTGTTCTATTCAGTGCAATTTCACCTGTACTGTTCTCTTAGCAGAGAGAATTTCAGGAGAGGAAGATAGTGATGCTTCTGTTGCTGAAATCAGTGGTGAACTAAAAATGTAGCACAAGTTTAGATAAGAAACAGCTGAGGGAGAATGTTACTTATGAAACTATGTGATATGAAGAAAATAGGAAATAGTGTTTAGTTTCTCTGTGATGACACAGAAGACTTGGGGACACCCAAGTGAAAGTACTGAATGGCAGGTTTGGTACAAATTAAATTACCAGTCTCTTCCTAGGATGCATAATTAAAACGCGGCATTCACTGCCACATAGTATTGTAGATACTAAAACTTATGCATAGTTTCTAAAAAGGAAAAATCAAGCAGCTGTCCATTTAGAAGTGTGATGCGCCAAGAACATAACCACTTTGGGAAGTCCAAAATACACAGACAGAGGAAAGCTCGGAGGGGAAATTTATTTGCTAACTAGCTATCTCCTATGTTCCTATGCTTTTCCCTAGGCACCTTTCATGGTCATCACTCAGAAATGGGATACCACGCTATACTGGCCTTTGAGCTGAGACAGTATTATGTTAGTGCTGCTTGAGGATTAAAGGTTCCACTTAAATGTGCAGCCCTACTAGAGGTAGGCAATCTTATGCTTGTCAATTTATGTGTCTATCTACAGATTACTTAGATTTTTCAGTAATTTTATTTTTTCCCAGGAATATTAGTGGCAAGCATTTGAGTTTACACTACTTGGTATATATGTTAAAGAGGCTTCTGCATCCATGAAATGTTGGTTTTACCTTCATACTTAGTACACGGAACACAGGCAAGCACTTTATTCATTCAGTTCTTGTTCCTCTCTTGTATTTCACAACTTCAGGTAAAATACGATCTTTCTGATGTATAATTCTAAAATGTTCTCTGGCAGCACAGTGGTGATCTAAGGAGAGGATTACTGCATGTTTGTCAAACAGTTCTTTTATGAAGATGCAAACATTAATTTTTGAAGCTACTGGCTACATATTGAGCTCTGAACTTTGGTTCTTTCCCACAGAAACTTTCTGGGACTAGTTGATCTGATAGTGTCATTAATGATTCATAATTAACTAAACCATTGAATGGCACAGAAATATTTAAAATACTGGATAAAACCTTGGATTAGAGTATGCTAAGATGTTGGCATGCTTTACTAGTAAATCTTAAAATAATTTAATTTTCCTGATTCAGGGACTTTTTTACTGACCAATTGTATTAGCCAAAATATTTTCAAAAATACTTGATTCACATTTCTGTCTTTGAAACATGACTAAGAATGTCTTTGTTTACTAGCCTACCTCTGAGTTTATATATATTTTTTTCCTTCCACTTATTTTTTGGAGAATTACAGAAGATTATGGGTCAGACTTATACAGGAATTAGCTGCTTAATACCCCTTTGATTTCTCACTGAAAAAAAAAAAGGGATTTATTTATCAAAATGCCTCTACAAACCTGAGTGTATGACAAGTTTTTTTTTTAATCTATAATAGACTATGTGAAAAATACTTGGTCTCACTTATTTTTCTCACGTATAATGTTTTTCTTGTCTTCCTGAAATAGATAGAAACAGATGACCAAGCAGCCCTCCTTAATAAGCCCAGGAATAAAGGAGGAAACAGTGATGTGGCATCAGCTGGATTTAACATTATTAATTCAATCATAGGATCACGCATTATAGGTAAATCTACTTTTCTTCACTATCCTGTGTTCAGCCTTGTTTATTCATGCATGACTATCCAGCTTGGGGAAAAATAGTACTGAATCCTTAATTTCTGCTCCTGTTTTTCAAGATTTCTCTCTGTATTTATTTGCTTACTTTGCAAAAATGCTGAGGTGTCAGTTGTGACCACACTTTAGAGATAAATACCCCAGAGTCTCTTGGCCATAATGGTCAGAGAGGTTGGGAAGATGCTGACTAAACTTCATACTTAAGCAACACTTTGTCCACTGAAAATTATCTTTTTGAGGTTATGAAGCATGCTGGTCCAACTTGGGAGATTACTAGCATGAGTTTTTCTGTATCTTGATTCTAACAAATAAATATTTGGAAAAAGTCTTCTAGAATATCTCTTTTTCTGCTTTGCAGGATTGCCATATTCAATGAAGAAAGCTGGTTTTCCTCTAGGAATACTGTTTGTGGTTGCCTTAATCACAGGTACTTTGAAGGCAGTTTCTGTTGTAAAGATAAAATTAGTCATGCAATATTTTAGCTTATCTTGAGCTTAATGATCCCTTAAACAAGTATATCTATGACAATAAAAATGACTAATTTTTTCCTTACCTCACTAACCTCTTCAGCAGATTAGTAGAAGTAGAGAATTATACTGTACAACATATGAAGCTGCTTTTTGACTGCATTTATTTTCATGAAGCCTTAGTTTCCTAGTTGAGGTAACATTTAAAAGAATATTATTTGTGCCCTCATAATCACTTGTTTAGGTCCACTGTTAAGAATGGACTAATTAAGAGACTGAATCCTGAGAGGGTTGTAAATTATTTTTAAAAATAGACCGCAGAATGAAAACCTTTAATTGTACTATGATTTTAAGTATTCTTCTGATATGAACCTATAGCTCCTGTGTTTAGAGGATTGAGAGATTTTGTGAGATTTCTCATCCCTGCTCTTCCTAGTGTCACTGCTTTTCTTCTTATGGCCTTTTTTTTTTTTTTTGGTTAGAGGAGTGATATAAGTTGAAAAGTAATCAACCACAAGTTGGTTCATATTGTCTTTATCATCTTTTTTTAATATTTTACAGATTATTCCACTATATTACTGATCAAAGGAGGAAATCTGTCCAGTGCCAAAACTTATCAACAGCTGGTCAAAAAAACATATGGTCTTGTAGGTTATCTAATCCTTTCAATTCTCCAGTTTTTATATCCATTTATTGGTAAGATCACATAAAATATAAATGTTTAATTTTTATAAGTAACAAGCTTTTTTACATTATTTTGTCATTTCACTGATTGAATATTAAGAACTGTATAAAGAATGTACTGTATATGCTTCTTTGCTATTTAAAAAAATTAAATTTATTTTGTGGATTCTGAAGAATGAGGAGTAATTCGATGAATTGAAGGATCAGAATAATAGAAATGAACTGAATGTAATACAGAAACACGTGATCACACATACGAAAATGACGAAAGTAGCTAGAAAAATATCAAAGGAGAATCTGTTCTAGATTGAGTATCACAGCACAAAGTTGATGTGTCTGAAAGAAAAGGAAAATACAAATTTAGGAGTATACTGACTTAGTATATTTTCAGAGATGCAATGTTACGGTAGTTGGAGAAGCCACTGTTTAGGTCTTCATAGAATATTATGTGCTGTCATTGCTTTTCAAAAACATTAGTTCAGCCTCATATCCAACAAAGTACTAGGAAATTGGGCAGTTGAGACCCCTTGGAAGAAGAAATAGTAAATGAACAAAAAGGTAACATCTCAGCAGGAATTTATTAGACCAGAAGTTTGAAATAAAGTTCTGTTCTGAATGTCCCCTGCCGCAGCAACAAAATTCAATCAAATCTTAAATAGTCTTAATATTTTCACATGTGGGGTTGCAAGATGGGATGACTTGAGATATCAAGAGTCTGGACTTGGTGATCACGGAGTCACAGATCAAAATTCCTATTTTGGGTCTGGCTACAGATACCTGAGATTTTTAAGGGTGTCAAGTTATTGTTATTGCAGGGCAACAGTGTTACATGTTTAATTATACTCCATTGTAAACCCTTGGTAATACAGAAAAATAATTGTAAAGGTCTTAGTGATAGCTATGGCTATGCACTTGTATGTGTTTGGATTAATTTGTATAAGTCGAGTTGTTGACTTGCAATTTCACAGCGCTGAGTATTTATGTATAGTCAAGGTCAGTACCTACATATTTGCTGTCTAAATGCTGAAGACCATGGGAATGTATAAATATATTTTGTGTATGCATATACATATGCACAAATTTATGTGCTCTTAGTGTAGAGTTAGACAAGAATGAAATGAGTGTTAAGGCCACAGCACTTATTAATGAGAGGGAGGAATCAAAGTCCATCTCTTAATCTATTTTCTCCTTCCTTTTTCTTGTTTAAAGAGTTTGTTAGCTTTTTGCATGAGCTAGAAAATCCTTTGCCTTTAATTGCAGAACTGATTATTAGACAACACACAGAAATTTACTAAGTAGAAGCAAGCATTTGAAAGTAAACCGACAAAGAATTGCTATTTGAAACAAACAGTTTTAGAAAGCCTTTTTTATCCTCTTCTGAAGTAAGTTTATATGGCCACTCAGCACAATGGCCTTGCTTATGAGGCTGCATTAATGCTTTGGTTGTACTTGTTAAAAAAAAAAAAAAAGAAAAAAAGGAAGTGTTAATTTTTTTTTTAACCTGAAACTTACAAGTTGTTGCTGCTAGCCAGAATATTAGAAGGATAGTGGCATATGATCCTGAAGTCTACAAAATGTGTGTGTTCAGTGTTAATCAAATATTTTGCATATGACTTGTACTAACAAAAAACTTATTTTCCTTAAGCTATGATCAGTTACAACATAATGATAGGAGACACTTTAACTAAAGTTTTTCAGAGAATTCCTGGAGGTAAGATGCATTTAAAAATTTTATGAATGGGAGATTATGTATTGAACAGAAGCTTATAAGTATTTTGGAATTACCTGTTATTTATCTTCATTTTTCTTAAGTTTAATTCAAATTAAGAACATGAAGCATAGTTCCATGAGTGAGTTTTTTTTGAGTTTGTTCTTTTTTCTTTAATAAACCTTTCCCAAATAAAAGCTATGAATCCTAGTCCTTGGCTATCAGTGGACTCAGTGTCAGTGAAGAGGCTAGATGCTTCAGTGAAATACTAAACAAATAGAATTGAGTCTTCCACAGTTGTGTATTTACAAGATTATTTGGTTTTGTAATTTTTTTTAGATACTTTCTATAATAATAGTAATTTAAATAGCAAAACTGTACTTCATCTAGTTAATAGTTCTGGATAAGTTGTGAATAACATAATGAATGTAATGCTTTTTAACTCATACCCCCGTGTTTTCCTTCCTGTGCTCTTAAGTTTTCACAGCAACATCAGTGGAGCAATTTGTGTACCTGTTTGATATCTACTTTAGTAAAAAAGCAGCTAAGTTAAAACATTCTTCACTGGGAAAATAAGCTGAGAGATAATATGTCTGTAGTGAAGTGGAAATGTGAATTAGTATGAACTGTTTCATATCCGCAGGAGAACTGTTATTTTCAGCATGTGAAACCTGAATGGTGTGGATGTAGTTTTAATTGTCACACTCTGTTGTTCTGTGAATACCTGATCAAATTGATAGTGACAGTGAATATCTAATAATTTATATATAATATGACTTCTGTAATAGGGGGAATCCCCAGCATGGCAAATCTTATTACCTATCCGGTAGAATACCTGACTGGAAAGAGGTGGGAAAGCTTTATAATCTCCCAAAGAAAAGAGGAGACAGAACACTGAGTTTTCCATGTCAATTGCCAGTCACTTTCCAGCCATAATTTTTCATCAAGTATTCATTCAAGCCAATGATTTATGGTGACCTCATTGAAACTTGGAGATTTTATTTTAGGTTGTCATTGGCTTGAAAAAACCCACCAGTTATGCAAAAAACTCCCACTGATTGCATGGAATATTATAACAACATTGGTGCCTTCACATGGTAATCTGCTTTGCAAGTGGAAGCTGGCTGATTGCAGGAAAGCAGCTGCCCAGAAGAAACTTCAAAATTATTTTAGGCCATTTCTTAGAGAACAATGCTATCCTAAACAGCACTGTAGTTGATGTCAACCCAGAATATCAAAAAATTCTCAAGACTAAATGGCAGAAAGCAGTAGAATTTTTTACTTGCAGTCTCCCAGCATTGACCCAGACATAATGAAAGACATTAATACCAATCTATATGTAGGAATCCAGACTTGGCAATTTTGATTTAATATATCCCATATGTTATGCATTTGGTTTGAATTTGCAGAATTCTTGTGTTTGTGCCCATGCTGTGCATGGCTTTCTCAGTGTTAGTTAATGCCCAGTTTTCAGTATTACTTAGCCTGAGTAAAGAGAATAAAACAGTTTTTTACTTTTAACCTTTCAAATGTAGTTAATATTTTCCTTAGGTTAGTCTCTTAAAGAAATAAATTATTTTCTCTTTTGCTTTAGTTGGGGTGGATAGCATGCTTACCGACCGTCACTTCATAATTCTTCTTACCACCATCATCTTTACCTTACTGATATCTTTATATCGAGACACAGCAAAATTGGGAAAGGTAAATCATAACAGCAGTTGATTTTTGGTTTATTGTTCTGTATGTCATTGAAAATAACTGCCAGTCGTAACTTTGTCTAAATAATTAACAAATGCATTATACTACTCAAAGGACCACTTTTCGGCAGCTTACTGACTGAAGTCATGTTTCTACCTTTACAGGTATCTCTTCTTTCTCTGATTCTAACCATTGTCATCCTGGTGGTTGTGATGGTGAGAACAGTAATAACCTTCAGTCCACAAGTGTGAGTATTCTTACACTTGCTACAAAGTGAACTTCTGTTCATATACAATCTCATATTTCACTATTGCATTTGCCTGCACAGTTGTGAAACATGCCTGCTTTGGAACAGACAGATAATTGAAAAATCTCTATCAACAGTAATACAAAATGAATAGCTAAATATACTTAATCCTTTTTAATTTTTTCCTCTACTGGGTATAAGCAAATTTAGACAAAGTCTCAAGACTCCTAGAGATAAATGGGAAATTATGGATGGCTAATAGAAGGTGGGTCCTGAATCGGCATGTGAGATTGTCGGTCATTTGAGATTTTTTTTTTCCCATTATTGTCAGATTAATGATTTACAATCATTAAATAGCTACTATCTTAGGAATATTTATTTTTCTGATAAGATAAATATAAGGATTTCATAGTAAAAATAAAATATAAATACTGTGAATTTTTAAAAAAACAACACAATAAGGAAAATATTTTTTCATTTGAGAAAACTGTATAATACAAAAAACTCTTACTCATGCATACTCTGAAAGTAGTATTTAACATTGGACATTGGAATGTTCTAGACAATTAAGTACACATAAGTTTGTGTTGTGACAATATTTTTATTGTTGTATTCCAATAAAGTCTTAGGAATGTATTATTTTTCCTGTGAGGCTTAGAAGGGCTGTCTTTTCTCATCCTTTAAATGTATAGATATATTAATAAAGATGACAAATTCTGTTTCTGAATGTGCTTTTTTATTTATTGGAACAGGTTTATATGCTCTTCTTATGTTTCCCTAAGTAGATTCTTACACCAGGATTGTTTCATCCCCTTTAGGCACAATTGTTCGTTTGTATTACTGCAGTGGTACATCGGTTAATTGCAGGGTATTTGGGTTTAATGGTAGAAAGATGCCTGGAATAGCAGTTTCTTAAGTTGTACCAGATGATGTTGTCTATCATCTACAAAATCGCTCTCTCAGAACAGTGTGGAACTTCCCTCACCACCATATTTCTGGAGCAGCATGTTTTTCACACTGTGTCAAAGGAGTATTTAAAAGGTTAATCTCAAAACTCCCTGTTAAAAAAGGAAGAAGCTATATATAATAATTACTGATAACCTTGTTACTATGGTAACATTTCTTCTTCACAGTTGTGATGCAATGAAAAATATGGAATGCATGATTTTATTTTTTTCTTACAGTACATGCGGTTTGGTTTTGAGTGATTCTGGAAGTTTTACTTCTTAATTCTTTAGAGACTTCCATTTCTGCCTTTACACTTCTTGTTTTCAAAAATGCATGTAGCAAGTTAATAAACAGTTGGTAATTTTTTTTTCCTCACCAACATTCTGTTAATGTCTATTTTTACTATCTTTGCTATTTTTACTTTACAGTTAGACATAGGCATATACTTTAATTGTTAAAACTATCTACTATTTTGTTGTATAATGGTAGGACTTTTTTTTGCAATGAAAAGAAAGAATACTGCTATATTTTAATATGGATCTCATCATAGTACAAGTGACACAAGTAAATTAACACATTTACTTTGAATCCTTATTAAAGTACTAATAAATAAAGTACTAAAGTACTTCTTCTAATAGAAGTTAGAGTTCCCAATGAGATTTTTAAAAATCATTATTACAAAAGCACAGGCCTTGTATCTGTCATAAAGGAAAAGAATTTGTACAATCCTGGATAAAGGTTCAATGGGGACAAGAATATTTAATCCCCACAATTGTTATATGTCAGAACTGATTATGTGTCTGCCATTGATGACAGGTGATTGCCAAGATCAAGCTAGACAATGCCATGATTTCCCATTCTAATCCTTAACTTGCCTTTTCTTATGAATTCTTCCTGTGTATGACTCCATTTTATATTGGTTGCTTCTTGGCCTAACCACAGTGGATATGGACAACAAACTATTTATACTTTTTCAAGTGCTTGAAAAACACCTCTAAAAAAGCTGTAATTTAAGCCCCTTTGGGGACCCTTTCTATAGACTAAATAAGCACAGTTACGTTAGGGTTTCTCTTTTTGTTATTTCCTGTGTTTCTAATAATGCTCAATGGCTGCCTTAAGTCTTCTGCAAATTAAAGTGGAATCGTGGTGCCCCACTTGCCTGGGATATTCCCTCTGAGGAGCAGAGATGATGTATCTTAAATGCAGTGTTGTAAGGTCCCTTTCAACTGTATCCCTTGGGGATTGCCATGCCTCTATTTATGTAGCCTAGTTTGATATTAGCCTGTTTGGAAAATAGCATGAATGTGCCTTGTATTTGCAGTCTAGTGGAACTACCAAGCACAAGATACTCTGCAGAACTCTTTGCTAGTGACTCTTCCTTTCTTTGATACTCTTCTCATGAAGTTTGGGATTTTTTTTGTTTCTTTGTTTGTTCTCTCTGCCTTGTTCTTGTGAAGTTTTTATCATCTGCATAACTGTAGAATTTGTCATTACAGAATTGAATGCTGCTTTATCAGATGATTTCTCCAGTTACCAACATATTTATGATTTTTCTTTTTTCATCCAATACTCTAGCATGATTGTGTTAATTGCACATTTCATGCTTTCAATTAAGGACATTTTTTGCTTTTTTTCCATATGCAAGTCATTGCTGAATACATTCAAAAGTACTGGACTCAGGTTCCACTGGAATCCCATTTGGACATCTTCCTGCTTTGATAATTACTTTCTGAGTAGTAATCAGTTTTCATTTACCTTTAGATTTTTCAAGGTGAATACCTCTTCCCTTTGAGAGGTACAAGATCATTATGTGGAAATGATAAAACATTTTTTGCTTACTGCAGTCCATGTTCTAATTGAAAATTAAATCTTATTTGGACAACAAAGCAATAAAGCAATTTCTGCAATAATCTGAAACTTTCTGCAATGTTTTACACCATCTAGAAACAACAAGATTATTACCATTTTAAACACAATGTTGCTTCTTTTTTTTTGTTTGTTTCCCTCTTTATTTGCTTTGGATGTGGGACTGGTTGTCCAAGGACATTTTAGGAATGGCTGGTAATTTATGTACTGTGATCAGAAAAAAAACAGGTAAGAGTTAACTCGAACTGTAAAGTGCAGCATGTTAATACTGTATGAAATAACTTCATGCTTCTAACCTGAAACTATAATTCCTTCCTTTCAAAAGAAATATTTTATGTTGCTCATAAAGAAGGATCATTTTAATTTAATTTGGTGTTCTTTATGAAGAATGTTATGGTGTCAGTGTCTCCATAATACATAAATGTCTATGAAAAACTTCAAGAGCATCTGCTACACATAAAGAGAATGTGAGAATTACTGAACTGGCAGCTGATTCCAGGGATAAAACACCAAGGGCTCAGGAAAAAAAAAAAAAGCAAACTTTAAAGTAAAAAGCTGATTCTTTCCTTCACATAAAAAATATAGTAGTAAGCAAAGGTAGACTTTAATGTATGGTGAAATTAAAGAAACCCAACCAACCTACTTTATATTTACAGAACTGTTAAGTCATTCATTAAGGAAGAAAGAAGAGTAGATGTAGCTGTATCTAAGTTGGGCTGACATAATAGCTTTGCCTTGTCTGTGTTCTTTCACAAGATGACTTTGATTAATATAAAATCCAAGACTAAAGTGAGCTGCATTCATTTTCTTTCCATTGTATTGACTAAAGTTCTATTCAGCATCTATGAACTTTTCAGTATCTTTAAACTTTTAAAGTTCAAGAAGACCTAGAAAGGTATTTTACCTTAGAATCAAATTAAATTGAAATGTTACAATTAATTTTCTAAATATTTAAATCATTGAATTAAACCTGAATGAATCTATGAGGTGATTCTGGATTATATTGTTAAGTGCTGGTTTGCACCCAAACTTGGCAGTTTGACACTGATCTTTAATCCAAAACGATGGAAGTCTTTTGCGCATTCCCTCATGTAGCTTCCCTGTCAAAAATATGACTGTTCCTCTCTTGAAATCACCTTTCTCTTTTCAAGTCAGTGTTTTATAGCCACAAGCTGGTTGAGATCAGGGATTTTTCTTGTCTTCTATAAAGATGTTTTGCTTCTCATGCACTCTTCTACTGCAGAATTTCTATATAAATGACAGAAAAGATTTTTGTATAGCATCAGTCTTAAACTGGGGACTATTATGCTGCAGGTGTTTTACAAGAGGTAAAAGAGAGGCCATCTTAGACTGCCAAACATTTGCCCAACTCTTACTCATGATCTGGATGCTTACAGTGTTAGGATGTCTTATTCTCTGCCTGGTTCGTTCATCTCAATTTCCCCATTCTTATGTAGATAAACATTAATATTTTCAAAACTTTTTAGAACTTTAATTTATTTATTATGATATATTTTCCCTTACATATATTGAAGACTTAGTAAAGTCTTATTTTCTTACCCTCTAGGTCTTCGTCATTGCTAGGCCTCACTACCTTCAGTCTGTCTTGCTTTTGTCTTAGTTTGTCTTGCTTAGTTTCAGCTAAGACTTTTTCCCTGTATGTGAACTCCCTTAGACTGTCTTTTTACTCAGTATTTTACTATTTTTGTTCCAAGAGCTACAGGTAAATTCCATCTCAGGTTTTACTTTGTGTTTCAGCTTCTACTATATATGATAGACAGTACAGTTGTCAGCAAATGCATTTGTTCAAAAATGTATTTCTTCTCTTACCTTTCATTGTTTCATCTAACTAATATCTCTTCAGTGTGAAGAAAGCTTCCAGTTCATGCAGGCATAGCCTATGCTTTTATACACTGAGTGAGTAGCAGAGAGCTAGCTGATTTTGTCATTCATGGATTTTCAGAGCTAATGCTATTCTTGTATAAGCAGCAGTTAAAATCTTCCCCTAATAACTCCTAACAAGAATGTAGGTCAGAACAAAGGTCCCCTCAAACCAAACAAACACACACAAATCTTGAACAGTAGCAGAAGGATTGAAAAACCACAAGAAGTTGTCCTGTATTCTTGTGATACACTTTCAGTGTGTGCATGCATCTGGCTACAGAGATGCATATATTAAATCAATTTGTGTATGTTTACTTTGGTAGATGATGTTTCCATTAGATGACCTTTGGCTTGTGAGTGATTTTATATGATTGTTCGCTATATGGCTCCTCTACAACTAACACTACTGTTTTCTGGCACAGTTTTTCTGAGAAGTCTTTCTATGAAGTCTTATTTTATATGGACACTTTCATGTCACCTGCATCCTTTCCCAGGAGCTTTTCATATGTCTATTTGTTCTGCAGACTGAACTTGGGAGTAATTTCTCACTGATGTGATCACCATTCTAAAACTGTTGACTCTCAGTTCCAAACACTCAGAAATTAATTTTTTGGCTGTGTGCTTTCACTGCATGAGGTCCCTCTATTCCCACAATATGAAAATATTTTTTCAAAGCACATGCAGCAGTATATGAGTTGCTGCAGAAAATAGCACATCTGTACCAGCATACATTGTAGGTCATTACAAGCTGCTGGTAGTGTTCAAATCAGGGATCTGGAATTCTTCCTCTATTCTGCAACTAGAATCTAAGGAATTTATCTTCTTAGGCTGCTAAATAAGCAGGATTTTGTTCTTTTTTTCCCCTAATAATACTCCTAATCTGATTTGTCATTCATCGGTAAAGCAAAACAATATCTTGGTCTTTTGCATATTGCTAGTGCATAAGCTCACTGTGCAAAGGGAAAACCAGCTCCTGTGATTCTTTTTAATTAATTGGCCACTTAATTAAAAATATTTCAAGTGAAATTCATATACTTTCTTAATTATCTTTTAAAATCTGTATTTATAGGAGCTCATAATGCAGCTATAACATTGCACCGGATGTACCATTTTCACAGAAATTAAATGTGTTTCAGGCAAAAGCATTCTTTATTTTTTTACATTTAAAAATATTTTGGTTTATAAGGTATTAAATAATCTAACTTCATTACTACTAGGAAGGAGCCAAAGAAAACTTCTGCTGTCAGATGAAAATATAAAACAATTTTCATTTTGTATATTTATTATCAAAGCTGACCTCTAGTGGTTACAGAATGGAATAAATGGAGTGTTAGCTTCCTTTATACTCTTTTTATTTTGAAATATTATTGCAATTTTTCCAATCAGATGTGAATGTTTTCCTTAAAAATATTACATTCAAAATTATTAACATTAATTTTCCAAACACATCTCTAGGTGTAGTGAAATGAGCGGTGCTCTAATATTAAGGGAGCTTATATAAGGAACCACAGCAGCTGTAGAGGGTCAGCTTTCTGCTTATCTTTCTGTTCTCTCCTGACTAAACGTTGATTCTAGGCGCTTCATAAGGTAATACCATATGGAAAAACTATAGTTGCCATATGGAATTCCAAAATAGCATTCAAGAAAAGTTCAGGAAGGTCTGAATTTTCATATGTGATTTCCTAAAAGAGACAGTATCCACTAAACACTGCAAACTCCCTGCAAGAGAATGGACTTACTGTATTAATACAAATAGAGAAGTAATGAACTAAAGACAAAAGAAGTTAGAAACAAAATTACTGTAAGACACTCTAGGAATAAATGACAGATGTCATCCTATAAAACCTGCATTGAGATGAGGTCTTGTAAATTATCTTTTAGTGAGCAGCTTAGGTCTGCCACAAGCGGCACACTTGGCAGGCTCTTCAGCAGTGTCCTTTGTCTTGATGGAGGCAGGACAGCTGACAGTAGTGATTTGCTGTCCCACCGAGAGCACCTGCCTGAGATTGCATAGTGGGATGCTGTGACCACCTCTTGGGACTTCTGTTTCTAGAGGCAGGGGCTGGTTTATGCTTTGTTTTGTGTTCATACACTGCTTAGCACAGTGGCTTCTGATTGATTACAGGGCCTTCTAGGTGCCAGTAACACAAGCAGTAATTATTATACTATGGCCATATTTTAGTGTTTCTCTATCATATCCTGTTGCAGTCATCAGTGGATAACATAAATATGTCAGTGGGTGACAGTGGGTCCCTTTGCTTCTATTTTTGATTATATTTGCGGGGAAAATGGTTTAGAAGATACCTTCTCACTGTTTGGTTCATTGCATTTTGTGGCTCTCCAGAAAAGGACATAGGTGCCACATGCCTTATTAGTAGTCAAAGTAGCTAGTAGCTATTCTAGTTTTTGCAGTGCTGCAGGAAAACTCTTGTGAAAAAGCAGTACCTTGTCTATTATACATATTATGTTCAAATACAGGGTAGTTCTGGCCTTTGTGGAACAATGATTAACACATCAAAGGAGGCATAGGTGGGGTCGTGTGACATTTGCTGGAATGACAGCTACCTAATTTTGGCGATCTTTCATATCAACAAAAAAAAAAAAAAAAAAAAAAAAAAAGACAAACTTTGAGGCAAAGGCAAATATTTTAAAGCTTAAACTGACTGCTTGGAAAAAAAATGGAACATACTCTACGGAGCAACAAAATTATATGAATACAGGGACATATATTTAAAACTCTTTCCGTTATACTGAGCACTAACTTTTCCTTTTACCATGCCTTTTTCTGTCACAAAGGAGTATTACTAATGAACTGCAGCAGTAAGTTTCAGGCTCTTTTCTCTCATATTGCAAGAGATATGTTACTGAGTGACATAGAGTCATGCTTCCCATGCTATTTGACAGAAGTCACTTGATTAGGCACTCACATAAAAAAATTTGAAAAGAAATGATAAAACATGATCACATGTAAACAATGTTCTTGTCATGTAAATTCACTTCTGCTGATTTCCTCCTTCTCTTTCTAGTTTTTCTGTGGTTTATATTTTCACAGAAAGAATTTTAATCAGGTCCTTTTATATCACAGCTCAGTGTTCTGATGTGTGAAGTGCTAAGTATTTTCTATTTTTTTACGTTAATATTCTTATCATCAGCCTACTATAGAATAATAGACATCTTAAAATAACATGAGTTTTCACAAAAGGGTTATTATCTTTCCTGAACTATGTTTTAGCTGTCTTCCAGAGAAGAGAGAAATTCCTTAAGATATAGATCCCTAAAATTAAATTCTGAAGGAAGTAGCATATAATATGTTACCATAACACAGTGTTTTCCAGCATTTTAAATTAGTGGCACGCTGTATGTTGGCAACAAACTATTGTAACAATGTTAGTCGGCCTGCAGTGTGAGACAAATGATGTTCTCAGACTCCCATTCATTTATTTAATAGTATATATTAAATCTGTTCCCATTTACTGACTGGGCAATGGAATGGAATATTACCCTGTCTCAGAGGACACTAATTCTTAAACTTTGCAAAAATATTATTATATAGCCCATTTTATGCAGAAATCTTATTATCCAAGAACAATCTGTAGTGTGCTGGTCCTCCCAGGAACTTCATAACCACCATGAAGCCTTCCTGGAAAGGTAGGACAAGTGTACAGTTACCCAGTAATTACAGGATAATTGACATTTTAAATCTTTCAAAAATCAGATGTAATTTAATCCAGATTCTATAAAAAAAGAGTAGGCCTCAACGGTGAAATGCAAATACAGAATTGATGGCATATCAAATTGTTGCTGGTGGGTTTTGTGGTACTAGTCTCAGCTGTGGGAAAAACATGTGGATGCAGCAGTCTTAACCCAGCCCCTGGGGAGAAAGGAAGGGGAATCTAGACCATAGAGCTGTGTAGCACTGTCAATTTTCTTAGCTTCAGCTACAAAAGCAGTGGAAATCCCTGGCAAAATATACATTTCTTCCTCACAGTCTCTCCCTTCAGCCATGTGTTTCTAATCTATTGCATGAAGTGGTTCACAGGGCACTGTGAGATTTTGAGATGCAATAGGAAAAGACCATGAGAGTGAGGAAGGTGGATCAGTGTTTGTGACTTTGTAGGTAGAGAGAGAGTGTGAGAAGCTTGAAGAGAGGGAAGGAATGGTGTAGCCATGGATCTGCAGGTGCTCTGAAGGCCCACGCCATTGTACTTACAGACAAGTTAACTCATTGTGACACTGAATAAGAGAACGCATTTAATTTCATGCACATGAAAAATACAGATAGCATGGCAGAGAAAGCTTGTTATTTTAAATAAAGGATGATGTGAATATCCAATCTTGTATTGCCTAAGAATAACAACAGAAAGATAATAATGCTGCTTGCTGTAAGCATCTGGGATTGATTTAGTCACCTCTTTCTACTCTGAAGTCCACTGCAACCGTTGCCTAAAAGGGCAGGAAATGCAGAAAGATGCAAGGGAACTTGAAACAAATCTTTCACTTTGGCAGCTTCTGCTGCTATTAAACACAAGCTGAACCAGGATATCAATATAAGCATTCAAAATGCAATAGAAAATAGACAGAAATAATAGGAATGCTATTTCCTCTAATACACATAACTCAATCTGTAAAAGTAAAGAAGTCTGGACTTCTTGGAGCAGAATTTATTCTGGAAGATTTTCTGAGTTCTCTTGCATGCTACTTTATATTATTAATTGTTGGTAGTCTGATCCCACATTCTTTTATTAAAATGCAGTTCTTCCTTATATGGGTATTCTGTTGTAATTTTTTTCCCTTGAAAGCCTGTAAAACTTGTAGGGTGCTTCCAGAAGGGCTTATATCTTGGAACAAAAGCAGGATGCAACAAGAAAAACATCCTGAAATTTTAGTAGGACATCAAAAGAGGACATTCCTGAACTGAATAAGGAACTTCTTTGAAAACTTGCAAGTACTCTCCACTGATGGTTGAGGCTTTCAAAACTAGAGAAAAAAAAAACCCAACATTGTTCCTTTTGTTCTTTAGTTAGATGTAAACTGGGAATTCAGAGTGTGTTTGTAACTTCAGGCATTTTAAATGTCTTAACACATCCCCTCTATAGCCCCTCATTATTACATTAATTCTGCTGTTTCCTCTGGTATGATACCAATGCATGACTTGTGTCAGCTTTTAATAAATATTTAAAATTTTAAATTGACACATAATTTATGTGTCAATAATAATGATGATTATTCAGGTGTTACCAGCTATTGGGAAATCTGGTGGTTGTTTTTGAAGAAGACCAGCAGATGGTGCTCGAAAATTAGTTGCATCAGGACTGAGTGGTGCATTTTCAGTTCAGTTTTGTTTGTTTTTAGTTGTTTGGGTTTGCTTTTGTTGTTTATAGAACGGCTAATAGATTTCTTCATTAAATGAAGCTATGAATAAGCATGGAAGAATGGAATACCCGGCAATTTGTGGAATTCTGTCTCTGAATTGTTACTGGTTTTTTTTGGTTTTTTTTTTTTTTTTTCCTAGCAATAATTTTTGGGTTTAATTTTCATCTTATTTTATTACTTAATTTCAGTTCAAATGCTAAAAGCTTTATTTTTAAACTCTGGCTTTTCTCACAGTCAGACTGAGATGATTTGTCTTGTAGATTTAAGCATAAATGTAATAATATTTGGAGGGGTGATGGTAGATGCAGATGATGGTTAAAAATATGATGCAAATGATGGCTTCTCTTAAAAAATAGAAACATTCTCTGTTTGAGCTGAAGTTTAGCTGCAATGATACACAGTAATCTTCAGAGCCTTGGGAATTTTACACACAGTCCGTTAAACATAAAACCTTCTGCAAATCAGAAAATCCAGTGTTAGTGTTGTATTCAGAAAATAGGCATTGGCCTGTGTTAAAATGCAGTAAATTTAACATACTCTGCCATCCTGCTCTCAGTCTATGGCTGTGACAACCTGTTGACATGCTATATTGCAGATTCTGTGGATAGTATGCCCAGGTGCTATGAAATTTGGCAGCTTTACAGTCCCTGCTTTCTTGGATATTTCATGTGCAGACACCTTGATAAATTCCCAGTTCAGTTTAGGTTGCAGAGAGTGAAGATGAACCCAACGTGGGAGCTGTGTAAGCCCCAACCAAGGCATATAGTCTATTTTTAATTAAATGTATTGGCAAGTTAATGAAGATGTTTTGCTTGAATATTAAAAGCTTAACATTGGAAATAACTGCCTTGAGGTAGCTGTAGTGGATTGGAGAGAGAAATGTGATGAAAAATTTAAAAAGTGACAAGTGGTGTAGTGGCGGTGGCATTTTGTGCAGGAGGGATGAATTAGATTGGTCTTTGGCAGGACAGATATGATGTGTACAGTGCTAACTTGCATATCAGTGGAGACAGCTACAGAATTCACAATTAATGTAAGAAGTCTATGACAAGTAAAGAAGTTTGGGCTTCATAATTTCCAGGAAAATGCAAGTCGTGTGCACTACACTGGAGTTTGGGGTGTGGAAATTTTATGTGGGCATACACACAAAATCAAAACCACTTGTGCATTCTTTGGAAAGCACAACATGCAGCTTAGAAACAAGAAAAACTTGTAAAACAACATGCAAATAAAGCAAGGTACTGGTCCGTGTCTCTTGCTGCTAAGTCTATCATAGACTTAAAAATAATCTTTCCATTAGTGTTTCAACGAAGGTATCAGGGGAGAAAAAGTAAGTATTTATCTGTTCTCTCTTAGGTTGCACATAAAAGTAGGGACCTTAATACAGTATTGCATTAAGGGTACCCTAATGCTAATGAAACAA